GAAAAAATACCAAAATTTGTAGAAAACCTAATTCCAACTATAAGGAATCAATTATCGGGTACAGTTTGCGAAAAAAAATCAACGGAGATAGGTTTTGTAGAAAATATCGAATATTCGAAACTTCACCGATTGCAAACAACAATGGTGAACAGAAATCCTAGGACACATGACGAATAGAGTCGATGAGACGAATGCAATGATACCGGAGATGTCAAACACCTCCTCTCGGTTAGCAATGAATCGGGAAAAAAAACTAAAAACGTTTTTGTTGAGAAAGAAAATAGTGAGACCCGACTAAGGTGCCCTTTTTTTTCAAAATACCAAATGGTAAGCGTTAAGCAGGTTTTGGGTATTCAAACCCCAAAATTTATGGGTTAATAAGCCCCATATTTTTAATGAGTTCCCAAATAGATTAATAAACTTACCAACACTTCAATTTAACCCAATTTTTGGGGTGTTACATGTCTTCACATGATCAATAGAAATTATGTTATTTAATTTTTTTTTTCAAAAATGAAATAAAACTTAACTTCAGTATGTTTGTCCATTTTGAGACAATATGAATATAAATATAATAAATTCTCCAGAGGATGAATGTTACAGTAAATTCTCCGTTCGACTTTGGTGTTTAGAGGAAGACAAAAAAAAATCAAAGTTTGTATTATAAAATAGAGCTCGACTTGGCTCGAAAATTCAATATCCTACAATTTAAGCTCGACTCGAACTCGGAATCATGAATTGAAGCTCAAAAAAAATATATAAATTTAACTCGTTTTAAGCTTAAACTCAAACTCAAATATGAACCTTAAATATATGAAAAATATATTTATTTTTAAAATAATCAACACATAAATGTTAATACTATTAATAATCTTTTTAAATAAAATTTGAATATATACTTTTTTCGGTTTCTCACGAATTTTTCGAGTTGAATATTAAGTAGCTCGTTTCTACTCGTTAAAAACTCAAGTTGAGCTCAAGATCAAGTTCATTCAAGTCAAGTATTTATCGAACTTTTACCGAATCAATCTCAAATTTACAACCCTAGTGACTATCAAGGATGGCGTTGAGATAATTATATTAACATCTATTTCTTTATTTAAAGTTCTATGATTTTCAATCATTTTCCAGGACATATTTTAGGAAACTAGTGAGTGAAATTTAGAAATTTTAACTTGGGAGTTGAAATCAAAAGCAGAACTAATGGATTGATAATGAGATAGCAGATAAATTGTCTGCTGGAGAAGCTAAAGATGAGAAACTGATCCTGAGACGGCAGAAACCAGATGCTGAGTTCGTCAGCTCCAATCAACTGGTATTGGAGATGGTTCGTGGTTGCCGGATTCTCTGAAGTGAGGAAGTCATCAAGTACATCAAGCTTGCACGATCAGGACAGTTGTAGTTTGTCATCCCTCTGGCCAACTGCATCTAAACGGAGTTTATGCCTAATTTTCAACCAGTTTCCACGGCAGGCGTTACAATACATATTTTTGATGGATTGCCAAAACCAATGGCCACTCGTGAAAATGAAGTCGTGCTTGAGTTGCTTCCCTTGCCTCGTCTTCCCTTCCTATCAAATCATTTTCCCATTTACAGATCAAAGCCACACTACAGTTGTGAGGCCTCCACTTGATAGCAAGCTCTTTCAATAATAGCACCAGCAGTCATAACCCAGAGCCTTGAAATTCAATAAAATGTCTAAAGTAGTGGCCACTTTTGCATCCCTATGATTATAATCATGAATAACTTGGGTATGAAAGATTTTCAAGGAAAAGGTAAAAAAAATTAATATCAACCCCAAAAGAATGGGGCAGAAAAAGAGAATAATGTCAGCAAGAACTGAGAAATTAGTGTGGAGATCTGTAATGCCAAAAGCCAATCATCCACATTTAGCCCTAAACCAAATGTAGATAAATAACTAGGTTGGCATCAATCATCATACAGTTTGTGATGATGCTTGGTTGAGTCTAATTTCAAAAACTCGAATATAACAAACGCTCTCGTCTAATAGTTGCTTCAATATGTTTGTCTTTCACATAGAACCCTACGAAGCTAAGAAATTCAGATATCTTACACTAACCAACATATATCCTACTGCATGATGACCTTGACAGATCTCCTAAGTAGCCAACATGGTGTCTACATTGTTATACATCAAATTTAATTTCAATACAAATCCAGATTAGTTGGCAAACGTTAGCTTATTCACACTTGAGACATCAAAACAAGACAACCATCATCATAGCCTCATAGCTAAAGCATTTAGCTATGCATCGAGTATATAAAGTAACATCCAATCATGTCTACATTTCCGCTAAACCCTAAAAGATACTCAAATAAAAACCTTTGCCGGCAAAACTTTATGCATATGATTTCAAAAATGTACCGACCAAAATATTAGCATATTAGCTAGCAAGCCCCTTAAATCTCGGAAATCAATTCAAGAAGCATAAAATCAATCAACAGCTAGAAAAAAAGAGATAACCATGAGAATGGAGAATAGCAACAAGTAATCAAGAAAGAGCTTACTGCCTCTAATCCTAATTGGACCCTTTGTCGTTGCTGTCTTTGCTATCTTTGGTTCATTAGCAACAGCATCTGTGACCAGAGCCATTGGCCTTTGATCAATAACTTCATCAATCAACCCAAAATCTTTAGCCTCCTCAGGGGTCATAAAATAATCCCTATCCATATTCTTCTGAATTACATCAATGGATTGGCCTGTATGCTTAGAATACAAAGCATTCAATGCATCCCAAACACGAACAATCTGCTTAGTGTGGATGGTCATATCTTTAGCCTGGCCACTGTATCCACCAGAAGGCTGGTGAATCATGATGGTGGCATTGGGGAGGGACCGCCTTTCACCCTTTGTTCCAGCAGCTAAAAGGAGAGAACCCATTGATGCAGCTTGCCCCAAACAGATTGTGTTGACCGGAGACTTAATGTACTGCATCGTATCATAAATCGCGAGACCTGTACCAAGAACAACACTGACAAGATTATCAAGAATAACGATAGATTTGGGCAAAATTTTCGAAATTGGAAAGAGGGGAAAAAAGGGAGAAACCTGCAGTGACTTGACCGCCGGGGGAATTGAGGTACATGTGGATAGGTTTGGATGGGTTTTCGGATTCGAGGAAGAGGAGCTGGGCGACAACGACGTGGGCGGTATCGTCGTTGATGGGTCCGTTGATGCAGACGATCCTTTCCTTGAGGAGACGAGAGAAAATGTCGTAAGCTCTCTCGCCGCGGGAAGAGTGCTCGATCACCATCGGTATCAGGCTGTAGTTTCGGGTGTATGAACGGGAAACCGTGGCGGCGGCGACGGCGGTGGTGCTAGAAATGAGGCGTTTGGTGCTTGCAATTAGGAACCTCATGGCTACCTCTAACAGGAAATCTGGCTAGGGATTTTGCAAAACGGGAGATGAACAATGCCCAAATTAAAATGGCTAGGGATTTTTTGCCCCTTGGATTGTAAGAAGAGATCAGCAGCTGCTCATAGATTATAGGGTTAGCCACATCAAATGTAAATCAACTTAGAATTTTGACCATTTAAGATTGAATTACTTCAATATTTTTATAATAGAATTACTTCAATTTTAGTATTTAATTTAGTTTCGAGTTTAATTAGAATAGTGTATCGTTAAATTATTAACAACATTATAATGCATATTTGTTTCATCGTAAATATTTATTTACTTTATGTATTAATTTTGTTATTAAACTTTAAAAATTTTAATTTTAAAAATTAAATTTTAATTTGTTTATCAATTTGACCTTTACATAAAAGTTCTCAAACTCCTCCGACTACCATCATTGATCAATCATCATCTATTATACGTTATCATTCGTGAAAGGATCGGTGTTAAAACATACACATTTTAATTACGTTTCTTATTCCCATATTCGTTTTCATGAATTTCATTCGAACTTGATAAAAATTCATTTAAAGATTTAACATTCTAACTTTTTGATCTCATTTAACGATTGAATTTCAAGATATGCTACTCGTTTTTTCGAAAAAATATTTCTCACTAATATAGTTTTCAAATATTCCTCACGTGGATCAATTTAAAATGTTAATGATAAATTATTTTAAACTTAGATCAATTTAAAATTTAGTGACAGAATTAATAAAAATTACTAAATTCAGTGACATTTATAGTATTTCACCCTTATTTTACAATATTAAAATCTTGTACTCCATATTTCAATAATTCACTGCATATTCTAAATTCTTCGATGATCAATAAATATGTAAGAATAATTCTTAGTAATACAATATTGCATTCAAAGACTTCAATATGTTAGAATTTTAAAATCAATTTTAGTTAATTAGAATTTATCGGGTCTCAATATAAACATTCTTAAACAAATACATTTTTCTTTAATTATTTTAATTTTATAATATATATTTAAATTATTTTAAGTCAATTATAACTAAAAAAAATTATCAAAAATTGAATCGGTACTAGATTGATTAGGTACAGGCTAAACTAAAATATAGTATTCAATAGCGATGGGCACAAGACCCAAATTCAACAGCACGATTTGACTCAATCATGTCTAATTTTTTTCTTAAAAAATCAGATTCAAGTCGTGTTTTTTTTGAGTTTATGTTCGGATCATGTCGGATCCAGTTCAAATTTAAAGTGAAAAATACCAAACTCATCCCAAAAAATATAATTTTAACTTATATATTTAGAGATAATTACAATATATCACTTATATATTATTTATTTCAATTAAATATCCATTTAATTGAATAAAAACATTATTTTTAATAAACATATTATTTTAGGTCAGGCTTGGGTTGGATAGAGGGTGTATACTTTTCGGGTTAGGTTGACCGAAACCCGACACATACACCCAAAAATAACATGTTTTCACGACTTGAATCAAATGGCAACAATGATGGCAAACGATACCCCTAGTATTGAATCAAATGGCAACAATGATGGCAAACGATACCCCATAAGCACTTAAAGAACACCATATTCATCTGAAAAACAATGCCACGAAATCTAAAACTATACATCCAAAGTCTTTAAAGTCCCCAACAAAACATATGATCAGAAATGATACGAATAACAGAATTTAGAAAAGAGATGTTCCCTTTCCCTTCTTGTCTCCACCGATTTCAAAGTGCTTGCACCTCTGCAAACAGTCACAAACACCCAACAAATCAGCTCATGTATCAAAAACAATGGTCTGCGAGGGCTTTTTCGATGAAACCAACCTTGATCGGGTGCTGGGAGACATGCTTGCAACCTTGGCATTGCAGCCTCAGCACAATCTTCTTGGTGGTCTTGGCCTATTCCAACCAATGGGTAATTAGTATATATACACATTGCTCGGAATCTCGAATAACACTAATAATCGGAATTTGACTGAACACCAATTACCAACTAGTATCAGAAGATATTGCATAAGATTCTTGATTTTTTCGCTATATGGTTAAACATACCAAATGCTCGGTGCTTCGGACAATAGCAATAATCAAAAGAAAAAAAGAAAAAAATGAATTAACTAAACACCAATTACTAACTACTATCAGAAGATATTGCATAAGATTCTTGATGTTTTGGTTATATGACTAAACATATACAAAATGCTCAGTGCTTCTGCAAATAGCAATAATCTGAAGAAAAATTAACTAACTAAACACCCATTTACTAACTAGTATCAGAAGATATTGCATAAGATTCTTGATCTTATGGCCAAACATATACCAAATGCTCAATGCATCTGAGAATAGCAATAACCAGAAGAACAAAATGAATTGACTACGCATACTACGATGCAGCATAAAACTCTTAAAATTTTCATTACATAATTAAACATATACATTATGCTAGGTACCCTCCAGAAATAGCAATAATCGGAGAGCAAAATGAACTGACTAAACAACTTAAAAGTAGGGGTGAGAAAAGTTTGACTTAACTAAAAAATCGATTTTTTAGACTCGACTCGACTCGGAAAAACTTCAAGTTCAAATTGAGTTGTATAATACAACTCAAATAACTCAAATTTTTTAGTAATTAGTGGATTAGTTTTCAAATTTGAGTCGATTCACTCTCGACTCTATATGAAAAATTATGAATATAAACTCTGACTTGAAAAAAATTCAACTCGATCACTCCCCTCTAATCACAAGAACTAGAATCAGAAGATCTTGATCTTTTAGGTATTTAACTAAATACCAGCCAGGTAATAAAAGAAGAGTGAAAAGGAATTACTTTCTTGTGGAACACCGGCTTGGTCTGGCCACCATAACCTGATTGTTTTCGATCATAACGGCGCTTCCCCTGAGCAGCCAAACTATCCTTACCCTTTTTGTACTGTGTGACCTTGTGCAAGGTGTGCTTCCTGCACTCCTTGCTCTTGCAGTACGTCTTCTTCGTCTTAGGTACGTTCACCTGCAACACCAAGTCAAGCGTATCCTCAAAACAAAATCGAAAATCAATAAATTTAGCAATCCATTTCCTCTATAAAGACGCAAATTTAACTTCATCGAAAACAAGAAACAAAGAGCTGAGCCTCGAACGAAACTTACCCTTACTTAGCAACCTCGTAAACTAATTTCACATATACTAATTTGATAGATCCAAAATAGATGCAGAAAATATAAAGTAAAATAAGGAAAAAGATATAATGAGAGTACCATGGCTGCTGCTGAAGATGAGAGTACCGGAGCTCTGTTTAGGTGAGGATGGTAAATCAGGAGGCCGCCAATCTAGACTAACACATAAACTGATATCTCATTCTAGGGTTTTTAGGGTTTCATTTTCAGGTTGGGTTTTGGGTTAAACGGAAATTGCAGCCCTTAGATTTACGCACTCTTGTAGACCCAAAACGAACTTTAACCCCACGAACGGCAACATTTGAACAATAAAACATTATAGGGTAAACTACGATTTAGTACCTAAACTATCAGTTTTGATTCATTTTGGTATCTAAACTTTTATTTTTTCAAAACTATGCATAACGTTTGGTTTTTTGTTTCATATTAGTACCCGACATTAAAAGCTCGTCAGTGGTCACGTCTATAGTCATTGGTCGTTGCATCTATTGGCCGATGAAACTCAAACTTTTTAGCCCGCACTTTTTTGACTATTGAACACTATTAGGGTCTTTATTTCATCAGAAAACACTTCAATCTCTCCAAATCAACGATGCACTCTTCGATTTTTTTATCATACGATCTTCGTCGTCAATCATCCGATGTAAAACTGGACTATGTTGGTCGACTCGTTATTCACTCGTGGTCCACTGAGCGGACTAGTCTTTCGTCCACCGGAGCTAGGGGTGTTCATTCGGTTAATTCGGTGGCCGAACTGAACTTTTTTTCAAAATATTAACCAAACCGAATAAATTTCGGTTAATTTTCGAATTAACTGAAAATTTTTAAAATTTTCTATATAAAAAATAAATATTTTATAATTAAAAAAACAGTTTATAATTAATTTAAATAATATATAATTATAAATAAAAATTTTATATAAACTTTTTAATTAATTAATATTGATTTAGGTTTAAAAGTTATTGAATCTTAAATTATTAATTGGGTTTTAAATGATTTGGGATGAGCCCATAAGTTATATATAATATATTTAATTTTTTTTAATTCAAAAAAACAGTTTACAATTAATTTAAATAATATATAATTATAAAATAAAAATTTTATGTAAATTTTTTAATTAATTAATATTGATTTAGGTTTAAAAGTTATTGGATCTTAAATTATTAATTGGATTTTAAATGGTTTGGGCTGAGCCCATATGTTATATATAATATATTTAAAATTTAAAATTTTATTTCGGTTAATTAACCGATTTCAAACCGAATTAACCGTTAACCGAATATCCAAAAAAACCTTAACCGTTCCCCGACCGAACTAATTCGGTGGCCGATCGAACTAATTCGGTGGCCGACAGAATTAACCGAATTAGTTCGGTTCGGTCGGTTAATTCGGTTAAAACCGAATTCTGAACACCCCTAACCGGAGCTATGCGTCATCAATTCGTCCATTAAGTTATTAACGGCAGAAAACTAAAACGAAATAAAAACTAAACGTAAGGTATAACTTTGAAAAAAATAAAGTTTACATACTAAAATACACCAAAACTAATAGTTTAAATACTAAAGGCATAGTTTACCCAATATTATAAAATCATATTAAATCGTATGAAACAATAAAATATTATAAAAAGAAATTAATTTATTAAATCATATATTAAACTAGATTAAAACATAAAGAACACGCATAGCACGAGTTTTGATCATCCAGGTAAACGTATATCGAAGAAATTGGGTTGAAGCAGCCTTGTTTGTCAAACCATTGACGATCAACAAATAGAAGCTACAGCGTTCAAAATTTCCATCAATGCAATAATAATAGGGTAAAGTGCATGAATAGTCCGTCGACTATAGAGTACTACTTATTAAGCTCATCGACTATTAAAAATTACAAAATGATCATATGACTATAAAGTGTTGTTTTGTTGAGTCTCTCTGCCATCAAAAGTTATAAAATGGTCACTCGACTATTTATTATGTTCCAAACTCATCATTTTTTGTGAAAAAATTGACGATGTTATGAGTTTAACGTTAACTTACTGACTTTAATATGATAAATTTTGATCTCGTAACCTCAAACGACGATCATATCTCAGTCATCATGTTAACATCAAACTTAGAGAACCAGTAATTTTTTAATGAAAAAAGACTAGTTTAGAACGTAATGAATAGTTGGTGACCATCTTGTAACTTTTGATAGTTGAGAAACTAAACAAAACAACACTCTATAATTAAATGACCATTTTATAACTTTGCATAGTCAAACAACTTAATAAAGCGATATCGTGTATTTTACCCATAATAATAATGATGATGAAAACATCAAGTTTCAAATGGATGGTCATGGAAATTGCATTGGATGTCAACAATAGTAAATATGTTTATTATAAAATATTGTATTTGAATATATATATATATATATATATATATATATGTTATTCTTGTTGTAGCTTCTTATTATATTTAATCTAACAAAATTAAGTGAGAAAATGAATAAAATCAAATCTTTGAATAATATAGAATGTTTTTATATTACATTGTGTCGTTAATGTTAGGCGATAGCCGAACGAGACAAGCAATGCTGACCGCCGTGGTTGACCTACACAAGCCAAACCCAGAGTCTACCATCACCCACGTGTTCTGCACCAAAAATCACGTGACATGCCCAACTGCCAATTAAACAAAAAAACACTCATTTGGAAATAATAAAGGATAAATAACATTAAATATTATTAAATTATGTTTTTTAAATAACTGACATTTACTAATTAAATAGTGTCATAATTGACCATTGTTGTAACACCCCAACATGTATCCGATCCGGATACACATTCGAGGTGTCACACTGATTTTTCAAATCGTTTACTTTTGAAATGTAGTTGAAAATTAAAACTTTTATTTATATAAAAGTGGTGGAATCCTTTGATCAAAGTATAGAAAGAAAATTCAGATATTGAAAGTAAAATACTTAATAATTTTCATAAATACATTAAAGTTCGGTTACAAAAATGATCAGAGCATGTACAATTTAACCTTTAATTACATGCCAACCATATTTAATACAACAAAACACACATTGTTAAATCTTTTTTTGATATGATCTTCAGAAGGCTTATGTTGTCTTGACTCCTAACTTTAATCTTCTTGCTTCTCCGAACCTACGTGTGAAACACTCACACGCTAAGTCGTTGACTTAGTGAGGCATATAAAATGTATCATAAAATATTACAATATTTAATCATATTCTAAGCATTCCATGCAATCATGTAAAGAAACATGGAACACATCATATAACGAAAACATAAATATGCACACACATATATATATATATATATATACACACGTCATCATCATCATTATCAGTATCAACATCATTATCATTATCAATATATGTTCTCATCATCGATATCATTATCAACATTTGTTCTCATCATCATTATCAACATCATTCACTATTCATTTATATCATTTCTTTTAATAACCCATGTATATCATTGAAAACTTAAGGTATGTGAATGCATTGAGATTGTACACAAATGTTGTCACCACAACTCGTATAAATTGCACCGAAGTGTCGCGTAGAAATTGCACCGAAGTGCCACATAGAAATGTCCTGAAGGACCTCATAGTATTGTCCCAAAGGATCGCGTAGAAATGTCCCGAAGGACCACGTAGAATTGCCCCAAATGACCGCGTAGAACCCTCTACTTTTGACATGTCAATTATACCCTTAGCTCTCATATCACATACTTATAAGCTTTACCTTTTATACTATTTCATATAGCTTATCACATAGGCATGTATTCATATATATCATTTTTCACATTTCACATATTCATATAATCACGTAGTTCACTTACACGTAGGGCATTTTCATATGATTCATATTCATATTCGCATGTCACATGTTCACATAATTACTTAGGTCAATAACACGTAGCTTATATCATATTCTCCTATAATCATATAGATCACATAACACATAGATTATGGTCACATAGTATATATCACATTCTCAGGTATCACATAAGTAAATGGCACATAGCTTATTTTACATTTTTATGTAATCACATAGACCAAGTAGAACAATACATATAACACATAGACATATTCTTATATTCCGGTAGTACACATAGAAATCATATCATACCATACTAGTTATTCATAGGTCATGAAATCCAAATATTGGAAATAGACTCATCGCAAATATTATTTTCCATATCACCATATATTATAGTAGTATGCACTCACATTTGCCTCACTAGTCAAAGCAAAATACTTATAACTCTTGCACACTCTTATAAGTTCGAACCGTCCGGAACTTGCATTCGTTAAATATCTACACAATAATATGATTTATATAAATATTGTAATTCGTATCACTATAATAAATCTTTAATAACATAAGCTAATTGAATCGCTTAATTCACCATTTCACTTTGAATAGTATCGGTACTCAAGGTACAGTACTTATACTTCCCTATTGTGGTATCGATATCCTATATACATTCTGGAATTCGTCCTTAAAAATGGTACCGATACTTAAACATTAGTATCGATACTACTACTTTGATATCGATACTCTTTGAAGAATTCATCCACTTCTACCTTAAGGTATCGATATTATTCATCCAGTTTCGATACCCAGACCAAGATATCACCTATTTTTGCCTTTAAGTGTTGGTACTGTTCATCCAGTACCGATACCTCTTGCCCATAACTTACTCATTTTAACCCGAAAATTTACCAAAACTTATATAAACTCCATACCTTTAAGTCCTTTCAACCCTTACTACTACTTTGGTATCGATACTCTTTGAAGAATTCATCCACTTCTACCTTAAGGTATCGATATTGTTCATCCAGTATCGATACCCATACCAAGACATCACTTATTTTTGCCTTTAAGTGTTGGTATTGTTCACCCAGTACCGATACCTCTTGCCCATAACTTACTTGTTTTAACCCGAAAATTTATCAAAACTTATATAAACTCCATACCTTTAAGTCATTTCAACCCTTAAAACTTAACTTCACTTATTACAACTAACTTATATTACTAACTATTCCAAATATTATAACTCACTTAAACATCCAAAATCCCACAATATTACTTGAAACAAAAAAATCTTACTAACTATTCCACATGTTCCAAATCCTATTCCAACACTTTAGATTTCTTATTTTAACTTATGACAAGTCAAAACTCATTTCAAAATTCATTTACTAACTCTTTCTCAATAAGTCACTCAAAAACCCTTTTTACTTAATTACCCATAACTTATTAATCTTTTTGTTTTTACTTCTTTTTAAGTTTCCTTAAGGTTTCATAATACCCCAAGAATCAAAACCAACTTAAAAATTCAATAAATAACTAACTGTAAAATTTATTACCTTAACCAAGCACTCACGGTGGAAAAAAGAAAAAGCCAGATTTTTCTTTCATTTACTCACATACTCCATGTGCTTATATAATACATCACAAACAAATTTTAAATTCATTAATTTCCAAAAGACCAAAATGTCCGTTCCTCTTTTAATCTTTGTCAAACAATCCTTCACAAAAATATTCCAAATAAATCTCTGAACTTTTCAATTTATTTAAATTGACCACAAAATTTTAAAATCTTACACTTTAATCACTAGCTCGATTTTTGGGATGTTACAACTGCAGCAATACAATTCGGTAGTATAGTTTAAAAATCTAAAGGCGTAGACGAGATGGTAGCATAGTTTTCAAGAGCACGAGCCACACCATTAACTTCTCGTCGGACAAACCGAACTGAAATGTGCGAATGAGCAACTAGGAGTTGTCGTGCTTCACGAAGATAAAACTGAAGAATAGAGTGATCATTTGATGGTTTATGAAGATTTTGTACGACATTCCAAGAATCGCTTTCGATCACGACACTCGAAAGCTCAACTTCCAGTGAAAAATGAACTCCCAGAGAGATTGCCAAAGCTTCGATGAGACCTGCAGAACGTGGCACAGAAACTTGGGACGCTTGACCTACCATAACCATGCCAATAACCGGCGGAGTAGGTGTATGTGGACAGGCACCGTCAACATTAACTTTGAAAGTTCCCGCTACAGGTTTGATCCAGTGATAAAGGTGAAGTTCCGAGGCCGAAGCAGCAACAGTGGATGTCAATGTTGTCGTGGCAGTGGCAAACACCGACTATAGCACGATGTGGGATGCAATGAGCTGCCAATCGGGAAGCAGATTACCTTCATGGAAAAAAGATTCCGTTGATGCTAAATATTCCACAACATAATCAAAAGAGTGATGAATCGGTGTGCCGTTAGAGTGTTCATCATATGCTCCGTCCAAGCACCAAATGCTGAGTAAGCCTACTGATCTTGCGCATTGAAATAACTCGTCTCCGCCAGTATTGGAGCAACCATCGGGCAGTCACGCAAAGCGTGAAAAATAGTTTCATCGTCTGATCCACAAAGACAATACTGAATGCCGACAACACTTGTATGAGCAAGTGGACGTCCGACAGACAATGCTTCACGATTGAGTTTTTTCAAAACCATACATAACATTCAGTTTTTGTTTCATTTAAATACTAGTCTTTAAAAACTTAACATGTTTATTATCTAAATTATCAATTTGGGTTAATTTTAGTACCTAAACTTTTTTTTTCAAAATTTAATGTTAAATTTTGAACGATATACTAAAATAAAAAAACTATATTTTGAGTAAGTTTTGAAAAAATTAAAAATTTAAATACAAAAACAAACCAAGATTAATAGTTTAAATATTAAACACATAATTTACCTTAAAAAATTTAATATTTAATCCTAATAACCTTCTAATGGTTGGTACAAAATAACACTATTAAACATCGGCCCACAGTTATTTTATATAATTATTTAAAAATTCTAATAAATCTTAATATACGAGAGTCTGACTTCCATTAATAAATTAATAACCTACACAAAATGCCAATTGGGCTCACTTTAGCAAAACGAGTACAGTTACATCTAACGTGCACATGATCAAAACCAAATTGTACAAGGATTTCACAAGGTAAATGGGCGGTTCCTCTGGAGCAACCCTTCCAGCACCACCTTCTTCTTATACTCCGACGAGTTCAAATATAAATCGTCGGAGCTCGCGGTGGTTTCAACCGTGCTCTTGTTACCGTTACTTCTGGTTCGGAAACGAGGGCAGACAAATAACCATGCCGATGTACAAAGAATGGCGCATAAACGACCCCAAAGCACCATTGTTATCAAGGTCACCATGATGACAGATATACCCATCACCGACTTGAATCTTGCGATTGATTCATTGTTTTTCAGTTGGAGACTGATCGGAGCATGAATCCGGGGACTCCCCGACCGTTGACTCCGTTCTGTGACCGGTAACGACACCGTATGGGACAACCTGGTTGGTGTTTTCTTAGGTTTGGTCTTCGGTGAAGCCGGTTGGCTTGACCCTGTCCTCGCCGGCTCCGACGGCGATCCCTTGCGCCCCCTCGTCTGAAATAGTGAAATCCATTAGTAGAAACGTACGCTGATCACTTTTTTAACCTACATGATAATGCTGTAAAGAGATAAACCAAGCTTATTCATTAGGGTTTCATTAAAGTTCCCCTTCCCACACTTTCACACGAACCTCTTTAGCCGTTTCTCGTGCAACTTGATCGGTGAACGGCGGCCGCTGGTGGTCACCTTTGGAATTCCGACGTGAAGGTTTATGAGGTTTAGAGGAAGCCTTAGTGCTATCAGGTTTCCTCTTCGTCTTGCTATGATTGGCCTCGGCCTTGCCTGTGTTATTTACAGGCACCGTCTTGGTGCTGGATTTCCTCGAGCTTAACCGGAACCTTGGCCAAGAAACCGAAGTGGTGTTCTTTTTCTGGGAATTTTTCTCCACGGAGAACCCAAAACAACCGAGAAAGCAACTGTTTCCGGGGCTGGTTTGATGCGGTTTGGCCATGAAAGAACTAAGAAAATATCATTTGAGAAGAAGGGATAGCGTAGACATGCAGGAGAAGATACTTTTAAATAAACCAATGTGGAATATATATATAGATACTGGACGATACGTTATATTTTTAACCGGTATAATTTAAGTTTTGATATTATAAATTTTATTGATGGAATAAATGTATATAATATTCAATTTGAATTAATTAAAATATTAATAATTATAAAAATATATTAAGAGATTTTTTTTGTAGAAGACTTGGACTTGGTGTAGGAGGGTTTTTCTTCCGACACGTTTTCGCAATTGTACAGTCAGTTTCCTTAAAATATACAATAATGCAACATGCAAATCTGTTATAATACTAATATTCATTATTTGATTGGCCATGGAAAGTAACATTTTATTTTCGTTTATATTCTAATGTTTTGTCTTAATTAATTCGAACCAACCTGCATCACACACCTAATTTCAGTGGGTGAGTATTCCATAAGAGATTTTTTACATCACAAGGACCCGAACCTAAAGTCTTGCTTAAGCGGAATAAAACTGATTACCACTTAAATCAACCCCTGTTGGTGAAAGTAATATTTTAATTTCTCGCTTTAGTAATATTAAAACATGTAACCAAGTGATCTCCATTATAAATGAAGTGTTGTTATTCGTTTAGGACTCAGATTCGAGAACCCAAGTTCAAACACCGTAAATATTAGAGGTTTGAGTGTTCAATGTCGAAATATTCAGAATTTATCTTTGAACAAATGTTCTCTTATACTTACTCGAATTAATAAAAAATAATATATAAAAGCTAGGAGAAGACTTTATGGCTGTGCCAGTTTTGGGCTGATTCGTGAAGCTTTAAGACCGAGTTTGAGTTTATAAGATATTAGTCCAATGACTTAAACTAAATTTTTTTTAAACTATGTTATTTTTTTATTGTAGGTATCTAAATTACATTTTTTTATTAAATTTGGTAGTTAAATTATTATATGTAATCACTTTATTTTTTTTATTAAAATAAGGGGATGTTTGTTTGTCTCTTAATGGAACCGTTCAGCATTCAGCACGTTTGTTTTACACCTCTGAATGATTCAATATTGACTTATTCAGCAAAACAGTGTTGAATGATTCAACACATAAGTACATTTTGAATGATTCAGAGCCAGTATCAAACAACATATCACATTCAGAGCTAATTCATACATAGCCTCTGAATCATTCAACATTTGAATCATTAAACGCTTAATTATTCTGAAATAAACAAACAACCCCTAAGTCTGTAAATTATTTGTTTTATTTTAAACACTTAAAATATTTGTTGGTCAAAATAAGTACCTAGTTTTATATACTGTCTCAATATCTTATTGATAATTTTCTAATTAAAAAACATTAAGACATAAAATAATTAAACATAATAATTGAAGTAACTATTTTGACTAAAATATAGTTTAAGTGCCTAAACCATAGTCCTATTAGATGCAAGTGAGTTGTACGGATCAAGTGACATCCGTGGTAAAATAATTGTTATTATTTTTTGAGGAACTGAGTTTGAGCACTATAGATGCTAAGGATGTGAACGTTCAATATTAAAAGATTGAGATTTATCATTAAACATATACTACTAGGAGCTTAAAATATTATTAAAAAAATTTCTTCATATAAACCGGTTTTCTCAATGTTTTAACTAGGGATGGGCATGGGTCGGGTCTTCGGTCCACCCGACTCGAAAATTAGAAATCCTCTATCCAACCCAAAAAATATACACCTTCTACTAGAACTTGACCCGATTTTTTAGACAAAAACTGAACCCTACCCTACCTGATCCGAAATAATATATATATATATATATATATATATATATATTTAAAATATTATTTTTATTCAATAAATAGAGGTTTAATTGAAAGAAAATTATATGTAGATGGTATTATTGTAATTATTCATAAATATATAAGGTAAAATTATAATTTTTTGGGTCGGATCAATTATTTTTTACCCTAAACACAAACATAATACTAAAAGAATCCGATCCAAACAAATCAGGTCTAATTCGGGTCTCATGCCTATCCCTAGTTTTAACTCATTGGTTTGTTTTTATTTTATATTTTAGCTCGTTGATTCGGTATATATGTACATTTTATCTATGTAATTATGTTGGATAATGCTTAAATTAGGGATGGAAAACGGGTACAGTTTCGTGGATTCCGCACCGCATCCGCTCCAATTGGGGCGGGGATGGGTATAATTTTAGCGGGTAGTGGGCGGGTGTGGATTTAGAAAGTGGTACCCGTCGCGGGTGGTGGGCGGGTAATGGGTTTGAGATATTACCCGCCCCGCATCCGCCTGCCCCACATCCGCCCGCCCAGTTAAATATCTATTAAATTTTGGACCATTATGAATTTAGGTGTAATTTTAGAGACTAATTTATAAATTCTAATATTGTATAAGATATAACATGTAATTTATCCAACTCTCCAACAAATAGCAAAGGATATTTCGGGCATTCATGTCTCCACTGTCCCATCAAAATCTGCATTCAGTATAGGTGGAAGAGTAATTGATCCTTATCGTAGTCGACTACTTCCGAAGACGATTGAAGCATTAATGTATGCTCAAAATTGGCTTTGGGACGATATTAAATGTAATATTATTATTTAGTTTATATTAGTTGTCAAATTGTGCTTAATTATCTTATTAAAGTTTAGTTACTAACTTATATTAGTTTTACTTTCTATTATATATGTAGGTAGTAGTGAATTTAAATTAGAGCGCTCTCAGTTGGAGGAAATAGATAATGATGATTGTAATACTGGAGTATTATATGTCACAAATATTGCTTGAAATTTTATAATGTTGTGTCAAAGAACAAAAACATTATGTGTTTGTCATTTATGTTTCTAGACTTTAATTATGTCCTTTATTATGGTGTTTTATGTATTTTAAGATCTATATTAACACTTAACTTAGATAATCCTTGGATTATTTTATTATGTTTCTTAATGGACATGTTTTTTTTATGTTTGTTGCTTATGTATAACTTAAGTTTGCTGTCAAGCGGGTCTAGACGAGTATGTCGCTAGTGGGTGTGGGGATGGATTTAAGAATGTACCCGCATGGGCGGGTGTGGATTTAAAAATTTGTACCTATCATGGGTGGTGGACGGGTGGTGAATTGAAAAATATTAAATGAGTATAGGAATGGGAGAAGAGGTATCCGCACCCGACCCGACCCGCCCGTTTGTCATCCCTAGCTTAAATCAGTTGGTAACGAGTACCGAATGATCTACTGTCAAGTTAAAATGTAAGGAAACATATAAGAGAGATTGTTTACGTAATTCATACCAAACTGATGATCCCGCCATATGGAACCTTAATCATAAAAAAGTTAATTATAATATTTTCCGTACAAAAAATATGAACGTTTCAAAATTATCATTAATTTTATGTTTTGTTTTTACTTTAATCAATTATAGATAAAAACTAATTATGGTTTTTTAAAAACAAATTAAAGTAAAAATTTATTCAAAATATTACATCAATAGAAATTTTAAATTTTTAAATCAAAATATAATTTAATGATAATTCAAAAATAATAATCGAATAAATTAAAGTAATAATTAAACGATTAAATACATAATTTATTTTAATTTTTAGTGCGAAACTTCTATTAATAACATTGGAGTGATTTTTCTTCTTCTTCTTTTAATTACATCAAATCGGCTAATGAATAACTCTTTATTGAGCTACAGGAAAGAAATAATAAGCTGCAATTGAAATTTGCAGCTGATTTGATTGGAGTTTGTTTTGATTTCTCGAACAATGCGCGAAGGAAGAGAGGCCGGTGACGTGCCTTCGTTGCACATCAAAAGCACAAAATTTTGATTTCCCTCCTAAAAATTTCCCACCTTTTTGTTTTTTAAACCCTAAAACCAAACCCTAATCCATAATCTTGGGGCGGGAAATCAACGGCGCCGGTTTTTGAGCTATTTCTTTCTCGTTCTCTTCTTTTTATTCTCTTATTTAAATCAATAAAACTTTTATATTTATTTCCGAAAAAGAAAAAACCGAACAAGGGAGCTTCTACTTTTTCTATATTACCGACCTATTTATGAACTCCCACCCCAGGCAAAAGAAACTAGGCTTTGTCTTGTTCGACTACTTAGTTTAGGTTGTAGAGGGAGTACTTGTAGTCTTCTGAGTGTTGGAAAAGCGACGGTGAAGATATGACAAGTGAAGAAAACTGCGGTTCTGCGGAGGCGCAAGTTGAAGGGAGAGAGGAGGGACTGGGGGTGGAAAATAGAGATGTCGGTGGAGAGGAAACAGGGGAAGTCGTGATGGAAGAGGAGAAGGGGATTGAAGGAGACGGGAAGATGGATATAGAAGGGGATGCTTTGAATAAGCTTAAGAAGAGAGGTCGAAAGAAGGGGGTGACAGGTGCTTCAAGGAAGGGCGAGAAGGAGGTTGCCCAAGAGGGAAGGAGTGGGGAGAAATTGGAGGAAAGAACGACTCCTGTTGATAATCTAGAGATAGCAGACGGAGATGATGGAAATTGTACGAAAGAAGAAGATTGTTTGGCTGCTGCTGTTAATGGGCAAGGAAATAGTGGGGGTGATTTGAAGAATAGGCTGAGAGCAGTTTCTAAGAGGTTTAGTTATGCTGAGGTTCTATATGAAGATGAAGAACTTGTGGAAAAGAAGGGCAGACGGATGGGCAGGAAGAAGAGGAAAGTGGTTCGTTCTGAACAACAAGAAGATGATCACAATGAAAGTGGAGAGAATGGGATGCCCCAGAAGAAGAGAGCAAGAAGGGGCAGAGCAAGGAAACAATGTTCTGACATTGAAGGTAGTGAAGGGAAAGATGTTAAAGAGGAGGGGATTGAAGGAGACGGGAAGATGGATATAGAAGGGGATACTTTGAATAAGCCTAAGAAGAGAGGTCGAAAGAAGGGGGTGACAGGTGCTTCAAGGAAGGGCGAGAAGGAGGTTGCCCAAGAGGGAAAGAGTGGGGAGAAATTGGAGGAAAGAACGACTCCTGTTGATAATCTAGAGATAGCAGACGGAGATGATGGAAATTGTACGAAAGAAGAAGCTTGCTTGGCTGCTGCTGTTAATGGGCAAGGTAATAGTGGGGATGATTTGAAGAATAGACTGAGAGCAGTTTCTAAGAGGGTTAGTTATGCTGAGGTTCTATATGAAGATGAAGAACTTGTGGAAAAGAAGGGCAGACGGAGGGGCAGGAAAAAGAGGAAAGTGGTTCGTTCCGAACAACAAGAAGATGATCACAATGAAAGTGGAGAGAATGGGATGCCCCAAAAGAAGAGAGCAAGAAGGGGCAGAGCAAGGAAACAAAGTTCTGACAGTGAAGGTAGTGAAGGGAAAGATGTTAAAGAGGAAGTTGAAGAAGAGAAAAGTGGCAATTTAGGGATATCTGATGGAAAGAAGAGAGGTCAAAGAGGGCGGAAGAAGGATGGGAAGAAGTTGGATGAAGTTGTAGGCAATGAGAAAACTTTGGAAAAATCAGATGAGTCTTTGGGAATAAACACTGATGCAAGATATTCGCGCAGGGCCTCAAGAGTTCCCAAGAAAGAAGAGTCTGTGCTGCAAACAAAGAGAAAGACGGGCAAGGTTAAAAAAATCAACTTTTTCGTTGTTTTTATAATGTCTTTTTCGTTTTCTTTACATGATGGATTCAGGTCTCAATGTTTTTGAATTTTTTTCCTTCTTTCAACAGGGGGGTGAAGGAGAATCGTCAATGTGCCATCAGTGCCAGAGGAATGATAAAGGCAGGGTTGTGAGATGCATGCTTTGCAAACGGAAACGATATTGTATCCCTTGCTTAACCAATTGGTATTCTAATTGGGGTGTTTACCATGTCTACTCTTCCCATATAAACTACTGCTTTCCCCAAACTATTTAGTATTTTCATGTTGCTAGCAATATATGTTTTTGACTCTCATTTATTAGTATTGGTTTCTACCATAGTGTACATGCTGTGCTTCTGTTTGTTATTGCACGCAATTACAAGTTACCCACGCTTTTTGTAGTTTTCTTTCTAATTGTTGTCATCTTAATGATATGTGAATATTTTGTTGTTTCCCATCTAACACACCATGTATTTGTTTTTCGTGGAAGGTATCCCAAGATGTTGGAGGAAGAAATTGCTGATGCCTGCCCAGTTTGCCGGGATAATTGCAATTGCAAGTCATGCATGCGCATGAGTGGCCCTGTTAAAGTGAGTACTGAACTTCATGGCTTTGCTTCTCCTTTTTGATGCATGGTTGCACGTATAATTTCATACTTGATTTATGATATTGTGTACTTGATGAGTTGTAGAGACTGGAAGAAAGAATAAATTTGAAGTTCAGTGATGATGAACAAATTTTGTACTCTAGATACTTGCTTCAGACACTTCTTCCATACATTAAGCACATTATTCAAGAACAAATGAAAGAAGTGGACATTGAGGCAAAAATTCAAGGTATATGCATCTCCATGTGAACATGTTTTTGTGTTAAGGAAAAGGTTCCTAAAATTAATGTAGAAATTTTTCTCTTGTAGATCTTTGTTTTATTTGAAACTCACTATTTATGTTTTTTATATGGAAGAAACTTGAAAAAGAAAATTCCAGATTCCATGCTGATTGAATTTGTTGTTATGATGACAAACTTTATGAGTTGGTTTCTTGTTGACATGTGAAGCTCTTTTATTTTTGCCATTCTTGATTTTTAGCGTTATGCCACTTAGGCATCTTTATGGCAGTTGAACCCTATTAAACCTATTCTCCTTTCTTGAGCATTATATGAAAAATCTTTTAATCACAATATCATTTTTCACCTTATTTTGTGCAGTATACTGGTTCATTTATTAAGAATCATCTGTACCACTCTCATTTCTAAAAATGTTATTTCTTGATCCCTTGCTATCAGGGAACTGAACCAGCAACCAGCACTATAAACTTCTTGTTATCTTAATATGCATGTGGCATGATATTACATTGTTTTTTTTTCTTGTAAATAAATAATAATTCATTTTTAACACTTATTTTCTGGATGAGTAGGGGTGCTCCCAGAACAAATGCAGTGTATGCAGGCAGTTTGTCGTATTGATGAACGTGTATATTGGTAGGTTCTAATTTTTATTGTTATGATGGTGAAATTAAATGGGGGTGATTTTGTTGAAAATCATATTAATCAAGCTCCTGATTCCAATATATGTTTTTGCAGTAATAACTGCAGAACTTCTATTGTCGACTTTCATAGAAGCTGTCTTGATTGTAATTATGATCTGTGCCTTATGTGTTGCTGTGAGATACGCGATGGATATTTGCAAGGTGGACAAAAGGAAGAATTTATAGCATATGAGGATAAGGGTTTTGATTACTTGCATGGAAACCCTTCTAAAAACAAAGTGTTGAAGTGCCCAGATGATTCCCATGTGGAAAGTAACTCCCAGCAAAAGAATGCTGCAACCTCTGGGTGGAAGGCAAATGCAAATGGTAGCATTCCTTGCCCCCCAAAGGATTTGGGTGGGTGTGGTAATGGCCTTTTAGAGCTAAGGTGTATATTTACAGAACATGCTCTTGTTCAGTTAACAGAAAAGGCTGAGGAAATAGCCAAAGATCTCAGTCTTCATCTTGGTCTCCAATTTTCTAACCAACAATGTCCTTGTTACACTTCAACGGGGGAAGTTAACATTGACAATAATAATTTAAGGAAAGCGGCTTCTCGTGAAGACACCTCTGACAACTATTTATATTGTCCAGAAGCTAAAGATATTCAGAGAGGTGAGTTGGAACATTTCCAAAGGCATTGGGCTAATGGTGAACCAGTTATTGTTGGCAATGTTCTTGAGCAAGCATCTGGCTTGAGCTGGGAGCCAATGGTTATGTGGCGTGCTTTTCGTCAGATTACGAATACTAATTACGAACAACAGTTGGAAGTTAAGGCACTTGATTGCTTGGATTGGTCTGAGGTCGGTTTGCTTATCAACCATACCAGTTATTATTAGCATATGCTGCTAAACATGCTTCTGTCAAATGACATTATTATATGTGTTGCTCCCATTGTCATGTTTGAGAAATAATTGTTTTCCTTGTGAATTCCAATCTTTTAAAATTTGGTATCTTGTAGAATACAAATATGTTCACATTTCAATCTCTTTTGTAACTTGAAGAAGGAGAATGGAAAATCTGTCCACGTTTATATTTTATTTCTTTTATATTATCATGGTCATTTTAGTATCTTGTCTTCCTTAAATTTTTTATCTTATGTAGCAAACTAGCAAAGTATGCTTGTCTTTTTTCAATTACTTGTTGGCTGGATTACCTTGGTTCTATAACCAGCTCTGTTGGTGAAATGTAGGTAGAAGTCAACATTCACCAATTCTTTAAAGGGTACACAGATGGTTGTTTTCAAGGAGAATTATGGCCCACGATACTGAAGCTAAAAGATTGGCCTCCATCTAGTGAATTTGAGAAGCTCCTTCCACGTCATCATGTTGAGTTTCTTTGTTGTTTGCCTTTTAAAGAATATACTCATCCTAAAAGTGGGCTTCTTAATGTTGCTACCAAGTTGCCAGAGCGTTCTATAAAGCCGGATATGGGGCCAAAGTCATATATTGCATATGGAGTTGCTCAAGAGCTGGGGCGTGGTGACTCTGTAACCAGGCTACATTGTGATATGTCTGATGCGGTATAGTTTTAATTTTCTCTTTTATTTTTAATGACAATTTAATGCCAACAAGTAGTTGATAATTTATTTGGCTGGAGTAAAGAATTTTAATTAGCTTGTGTAGGTGGTGGGGGCATTCTTTTTCTGCCTTTCTTTTTTGAGTAATTGATATATCTATATAATCATGGGCAAATTAGATTTAAGTTGGGTGTCAAACTAGTAACTTCATGCTGTTTCCTGTTCCTGTACAAGTATCTATATATGCACATTTATACCAGAATCTTACAAGTCATGTTGAGCAATAAAGCTAGTGTTTGTGGAATTATTGTAAAGTTGAACATTTAAAATAGATCATACAAGTTGTTTTTGAATGCTATCTTTCAGTGCACAGGTGTCTTTTGGTTTTTTTTTTCATGGTCCTAAGTAATCATTAGGTATTCTAAATGGAAACCTTACTGGTTTGAATTACAGATTGTTCTTTCAGTTTTGTGGTTTGATTATATCCTGTCCTTGTTCATCCTTGTTGCTTTTTTCTGGAACAATTCCTGTTCCTTCTATGCCTTTCAAGGACAAAATCTGAACAGGCATATCTTCTTCTAACAATTATTCTGCATTTATTCTAGTTGTTTGTGCATTTGCATTGCTCCTTAACTTTTCCCTTTTCCTTTTTCATCACATGGTATGTGGCCTTTGTCTTTGCCTTGGTGTTGTTTGTGGGTTGTGTAAGGCATGTCATTGACGAAGTTGACTGCAAAAACTAGTTGGTAAACTTTTGGATATTATAAGTTGTAACTGAAGTATCAGATGAATTAATTGCGTGTGGTGTGGGTATATAGTCTTATTTCTACTTCTCTGTTAATGAGGTGCTGCTACATTCTGCATACATAACCAGCTGTTGTGTCTAAACGTGCCAATATATCCTCATTTTTTGGTTGGGCTGAGGCACGTGTCTTGATAAGTGAATCTCTCATGTTCAAATCCCCACTTTCCCTAATGATGAGAAAAATAAGTATTTGGGTTTGGATGCTTTAGTTTTATTGTTTCTGCGTTTACTTCAGGAGACCAGGTGCTTTTTTTTGGCACCTGTCTTCATGAAGTGGAAAAATGAGCTTATTTTGCCAATCAAGCAGACTGAAGCATATCAGTTGGGCTCTGTCTGGGACTCTATTTGCTTCTCCACCTGTGCTGTGAATATCAGACAAACTTTAATAATTTTGTCATTAGCCAGTTCCTAATGCATATTTATTTGTGTTGAAATTTCTGTTTAGGTGAATGTTTTAACACACATTGCTGAGGTGAAGCTTACGGAGAATCAACTGGCTTCCATCACCAAGTCAAAACAAAAGCACCATATGCAGGACCAGCTGGAACTTTATGGAATAAGTTCAAAGGATAAACAGAATAAGCCTAGTGATGGGTCTTCAGACTTCTCTGCCTGCAACAAGCAGTCTAGTGATAGAGTTGGTTTTCAAGAAGGTAAAGTTAACATTGAACAAGGTCAAGATGGTTATTCTAGTCAGAGTGGCAATAATTTTGTGAGGGAACTTGGAATGGAAGAGAGTGGGAAGACAGAAGTAGTTAAAGAAGAATGCCAGGATAACGGCAGATCATCTGAAACTTCTGGAAATAAGATTGAAGAGGGGGAAGCTGTTGAGGGAGGTGCTGTCTGGGACATATTCCGTAGACAAGATGTTCCTAAGCTGCAGGATTACCTTAAAAGGCATTTTAGGGAGTTTAGATATGTCCATTGTCAGCCAGTATCACAGGTACCTTTTCTACATTATATATTTTGCTTGAAACATTTTCATTTTATTAAATATAATATATTGTAAGGGAGCTTGCAATACTTTCTATTGACTGGACCTCCTAAATGAGCTTCGTGTATTCCATTTTTTTTTTAAATTCACTGAACTTAAAGCTGTGGCGAAAAGATGGATAACAGTTGCTATTTAAGATGCATCATGCACCCATTATGTTCCTTGAGAACATTGAAAAAATGGATCTTTACTTGGTGTTTGTGTCTACTAGAAATGGCATTGAATATAAAACAACGATATTTACACTTTGGAGAAATTGGAGATTTGCAGAGAGTCCCCTTAAATTTACACAATTTTTTATTAGTATATTTATATGCTATAAACTTCCATCCATTAATTGTTTTAGGCAGTTAATTCTTAGACTGGAGAATTAGTAAGTCCTGCATTTCATGTGCTGTGCATTGAGCTGGGTGAAGAACACAATCTAAAGGGATTTTATGGAGAGGCTGTTGAGTTTAGACTTTTGTTACTAGTTCATTTATATTCTATAAATTTTACTGCATTATAGGCAGTTGTTTCTTACTTTTTTTTTTGCCTCTGATGAGTTATTTATATCATACGATTTTCTCTCTCTTGGTGATATAGGTTTTTCACCCCATACATGACCAGTCCTTTTTTCTGACAATGGAGCATAAAGAAAAGCTTAAGAAGGAATACGGTATGTTAAAATGTATGATAATATTTTATTGGACCAGTGATAGAAAACTTCAGTCTTTGGTTATGGTTATCTGAGATGCTGTCACACAGGAATTGAACCATGGACCTTTGTTCAGAAACTTGGGGAAGCTGTTTTCATACCTGCAGGTTGTCCTCATCAAGTGCGGAACATTAAGGTAACACAAGTTACTTGCTGTATTTTCTGCAATGCTTTTGCTCGAAAGAGATATGCATCTCTCGTGTTTTCGAAATCAGTATTATTTTTCTTGTGTAGCTAATGTCTCGATCAATATGAACTAGATATATTCAGGCATGTGAAATTCTTTTGAAACCTATTCAAGGAAAATGATTCAGGATTTAGTTATGAACAAAATATAACAAAACTAGATAAATTACATGCTTGAAAGGCATGTGAAATTCTCTTGATCAATATGAACTAAATATTACTGAACTAGATATATTTAGTATATGTTTTGCAGTTTTAAGAAGGAAATAAGTTCTGCTTCAGGTCATCATCCTAAAATCAATTGCCTAAAGATGTAATTTGTAAATTTAAACAATCAAAATTCTGAAGTGGTTAACTCTTGGGCCAAGAAAAACTCGGTCTCCCTATGGGATCCTATTATTCAAAAGTTATATAAAAAATTGTCAGGGTGGAAGTCAGCCTCTCTATCTATCGCTGGTAGGATCTTGTTGATAAAGTCGGTTCTTTGTTCACTACCAATCTATTTCATGTCAATTTTCAGACTGCCGATGTGTGTTCTGAAGAGACTTAATTCAATCATGACAAGTTTTCTTTGGGGGGAGTTGGGCGCGAAAAACAAAATTCACGATACTTGGTTGGATGTAGTTTCTCTGAAGACTCGGTTTCCTTTTTTGTTCACATTATCGAACTACAAGGAGGGTAAGATTGTCGATTTCAGGATATCTAACTTGTCAGGCTATTTTTGGGATATTCCCTTGAGAAGAAACTTAGTCGATTAGGAGTTGTTGCAATGGAATGAGCTTGTGGGTGGGTTTGTTGAATATCTTGCCTTAAAATTTTTCTTGGTTACTTGGTCGATAGTTTTCCGTGGGAAAGAATCGTGTGGGCTGGTGTGGCTCCTTGTTTTGAATATTTTGTTTGGCAGGTGGTGCACAAGAAGATTGCTGTCAAAACAGAGTTAATTAAACGTGGGGTGGTATAGAAGATCCTTTGTGTTCGTTTTGTGGGTTGGTTCATGAATCGGTTTCCCACCTATTCTTTTCTTGTAAAGTGTCTTAGGGATTATGGGTTAGCTTTTTGCGTCATGGGGAAGATTCCTTTGCATTTTCGGAGTGCATTGTAGCATTATTTTTTGTTTGGGCTGATCTTGTTCCAAGATCAAGTGTTTGGGGGTTTATCCCAAGAGCCTTGTTGTGGTCGATTTGGAAAATGTGGAACGATATTGTTTTAACAATAGGAAATGGATTGTGCTATGCTATCTTTTCTCTCGAGGTATAAAGTGGCAGCATTGTTTTTCTCGAAATTCCCAACCCTGATGATATATTTTGATAGCCTTGTGGGGATCTTGCATTAGCTGATCGTGTGATGTGTTCTGATAAAAAGTCTTAAAAGGTTGTTAGTTGGTCTCTATCTTTTTCGGGTTTTGTTAAAACGAATGTGGATGGTGCTATGAACAAGTGTTGGTTTAAGGGTGACATTGGCAGGGTGTTTCGAGATGAGATATGTGTGATGTTGGGTTCGTTCTTTGAAAGTATTGGATTAGGGCCTCCTATTATGGAAAAATTGATGGCAACGAATAGAAGATTGAATTTATTTTTGGATTTGGGGTTGTCGCTAAACGTAGGCTTATTTTAGAATCTGATTGTGCGGTCGCAGTGGATTGGATAAGAAATCCAACTAGTTCCACCCCGATGTTCCTATCTTTAGTCAAAGATATTACAGAGATTGTGGTTGAAAAGGTGTTATTGTTCGTCATGTCGTGAGAACAATAAATTGGGAAACGGATAAATTAACCAAACTAGGGATTGGTTAAGTAGAGGGGAGTTTTTTTTTTTTGTTGCTGTTTTGTTTTCTTGGGATTACTTGACAACTTTGTTCATTGTTTAAGTTTATTTTTGGCTGAATTTTTTAGGAGTTAGTTTTCTGTAGGGTTTTTTCTTAGGAATATTTGTAGTGCATCATTGTACAGTGTTAAGTGCTACCAAGGGTATTTGGTGGTGTTTGTTCTTCTTATACTTGGTTTTTATGCAATAAATTTTTTAAGTCAATTTTTTCGCTCTTTCAATGTTCGTTAAGTCTTTGTGTTTAACGGATATGAAAGAGATTTTTAATGAGACATTTCCTCTTTATAAAAAAACAAAATTCTGAAGTGGTTCTTTCTTTTTCACATTACTCTATTATGTTATGGTGTATGCTCATTTGAGCACTTGTCTTGATTAGGAACCTTGGTGGAGATAATTTTAGTTTTTAAAAAGCCCATCCAGGAGCGCCTAAAGCGTTGGGCGTAGGTGGGCGCCGGAAAAATCGCCTCCAACGGCATAGGCGAGGCGCAGTATGGTGGGCGCGTGTTTCTTCTGCTTTTGGAGCATTCCGGCACAGGTGCAGGTGTTGCGCTTTTTGTGCCATTGTGAGGGTGGGGGGAGGGTTGGCGGAAGAGAGAAACATGAAGCAGAGAAAGCAACAGAAACAAAAAGGAAACAGAAGAAAATAGGAAGAGTGAAGAAGAAATAGAAGAAAAACGGTGTAGAAGAAGAGGAATATGAAACCATATGTTCCCTTAACCCTAATAAATCTAAGGGTTATATAACCTATTAAGCAGCTCAAAATATATAATTCAACTCTAAATAAAATATTAATATTTATTTATTTTTCTATAAAAAGTCCATTACAGCCTATTCCTTTAAAAGTGCATCAGTATATTTCTTTTATATCTGATTATTTTTCTTTTGGTAAAAAATACACTGTTTTTATATTATTTTATGCTTTTTTTAATTTATCTATTTAATAGTATATATAATTATTTTAAAAATAATAAATTAAATAATTTTTACTTAATAATTTTTATTAAATACAAATTTATTTTTTTATAATAATTTAGTGTCATGTGAAGATTTTAATTTGATTATAAAATTAATTCATATCATTTAAAAATGATTAAGTGATTTAAGAGTGAATTATTAAATAAATAAAATTAGCTGAGAGTAACCCCCAATACCAGGTTGAGAGTAGTTTCCGTAAAAGACTTCTGTTACGAATTGTCCTCAGTGAGACTTGATCTCATGATTACAAGGTTAAGAGTCTTGCGTTCTACGAACTGAGCTAGATGGACAATTAAGAGTGAATTATTAAGTAATAGTTGTAAATATACTCTAAAATTAATTTATAAATTTTTTAGCACAAGGTGCGCCTCGCTTAATAAAGGCTTTAACGATAGGTGCGTCTCACCCTGTGCCTTGTCCTAGGCTCCAGAGATCCTTTGTGTCTTGATGCGTATCGCGCCTTTTAAAACTAAGCTGATAATAGCCGTGTGGTTTAGTATTACTTATCCTTAGGTGCTGATAATAACCTTGTGGTTTAGTATTACTTATCCTTAGGTGCTGATAATAGCCATGTGGTTTAGTATTATTCTAAGTATTATCTGTAGTTCCTTGATTATGTTCAGCATCTTCCTTCATCGATGCTACAACCTATATCACCTGCTAACTTTCACCCGAACCAGCATCATAGCTTCTTTCACCTGCTGCACCCGAACCAGCACCCGCATCACAGCTGCCCTCACCTGCTGCACCTATATTACAACTTCCCTCACCTGCGGCACCCTTACCTGCACTTTCATCCATTTTACAACCTTGTTTTAGTCCACTTAAAACTCCTCAAAAATCCAAAACGCTACAACTTGAGAGAGAAAAAAAACTCATTGTCTACTATAGGAGGAAAAAAACTGATTTCTAAGACCACTCTACAGCCTGGAATTTGCTGAGAACTTAACCACGGCCCTACTACTCGTAAGGGTTCGGAAGGTAATTGATCACATGGTAAGGAATTATTTCAAGATGAAAATTGTGTTTATTTTATTGAGATACTACTAATCTGCCTATTGCTCAAAGGAAAGGTGAAACGAAATGTACAAACCATCTAATTCAACGGTTTATTTCATATGGGAACTTGAAGCCTTCTATTCGTGCTTTTACTACAAAGGTGGATAATATTTATATTCCAAAAACAGTGGAGGAGGCTATGAAAGATCCTAGGTGGAGAAAGTTGTCGGTAAGACTTGGACCAAAGCTAAGTTACCACAAGGAAAAAAAATTAGTGGGCTGCAGGTGGGTTTCTATTGAAAAAACAATATTGTGGAGAAATTCGAGGCAAGCTTGGTAGCTAAAGGATTTATGCAAACTTGGATAAACTCTTGGGAAACATTTGCGCCAATGGCGAAGCTAAATTCAATAAGGGTATTGTTGTCTTTGGCAATTAATAACAGACAGAAACTATATCAATTGGACATAAAAAATGTCTTGTTGAATGAGAAGTTGAAAGAAAAGGTTTATATGCAATTCCCTCAAGGAATGGAAAACGAAGGGGGTGGCAAAAAGATGCTAGCCGCAAAAATTATTGTATGATCTTAAAGGTTGGTAGGAAAGTTGATCTATTTATCACTTACACGATCAGATATAGCTTTTTCAATCAGCATTGTAACCCAACATATGTGTGATCATAAGGATAAACATGGACGAGCATATGTTGGAGCTGAGTAATGTTGGAGCAAGAAACACCAAGTCCATCATGACACAACTAATTGTGGCAAGTAGTAATGTTGGAGCTCAGTATAGAGCTCTAGCATTTGGAATTTGTAAAGGTATATAATTGAAAAGGTTGATTATTGAATTAGGATTTAATCGATGTGAAAACATTTTACTCTATAGTGATAATCAGTTAGACATCAGTATTATCAAGAACTCAGTTCACCATGACACAACTACATATGTAGAAATTGATTGACATTTTATCTCAAAAAAGGTTTATCATGGAGCAAAATTGTTTTTTCCTCTCATCAGAAAAAAGCTAGTTGATGTTCTTACTAAGGCACTACTAAGAGGGAGCTTAGAAACGATAACATCCAAGTTGAGAGACTATAATATATACTCACCAACTTGAAGGGGTGTTTGGTTTATGGAATGTAAGATTTTTAGAATGTAACATTACAATGGGAATGTTGTATTACCTTGTATGGTTTGTTCAGTATTGATGTAAGATTATAGTGTTTGGTTGGAAGAATATAAAATTATTTAGATGTATATTTTATCAAATTATCCTTGTGATATATGTTTTCTTTCAACAAGTTAAATTTTAACATGAAATTATAAATATTTGAATGAAAATTCATAGAAATATTTTAATTGTTACACTATCTAATTTTTTAAGGAAAAAATACATTTAACATACAATTAATGTAATTAATAAATCAAATTTTATATTTTTAAATAATTTTCATAAGTATCATATTTATTTATAGAAAATATGGAAAAAAATATTGTAGTCTCAAGTAGATAAAAATGTTGTTTTTCAATGTATAAAATTCATTTTTTTAATAACTCAAAATTAAATATTATTTTATAGGGTAAACTACTCATTTAGTAATTAAATTATAATTTTTTATTCGTTTTAGTAACTAAACTTTTAATTTTTTTCAAAATTATAATTAATGTTTAGTTTTTGTTTTATGTTAGTACTCCACTATGAAAATTTTAATGCGTTTGTTGTCTAAACTATCAATTTTGGTTTGTTTTAATTCCTAAACTTTTACTTTTTTCAAAATTTAATGTTAAATTTTGAATAGGTGTACTAAAATGAAATAAAAACTATAAAAAAATGAAAGTTTAGGTATTAAAATGAGTCAAAATTGATAGTTTAAGTATTAAATGCTTAATTCACCCTATTTTAAATAATTAATTTTTAATAATAATAGCATTATTTTTTCACCTCATAAAATTATAGATTATTAATATTTTATAAATAATAAGAATTGAGAACGAGTCATATGAAAAGAATTCAATATTTTAGGGGTATTCTTCTCTAATGTGGTGAAAATTGTATAATATCTAAGAATTTGAAGGTAATGATATTTTCGCCATTTTAACCAAAAAATTATTGCTATTGGTATTGAGTTATTACCTAATAATAATCTTTTTCTTGAACCAAACATGGAAATGCAATTCTTCCCATTTGTGCAAAGAATAGTAACCGTGTCATAGTGATTGGAAAAAGGCTTGCTCTTTAATTAATTTTAGTTGTCTGTAGATCCAAGATGTCAATGGTTTGTCATAGCATCAAGGAAGCAATATTGGGACATTTCTGATATCCTTGATGGATCCTTTCTGTGTTTGGTCACACATTGTGTTAAAAACCTTAATTGCTCGCCAAGAGATCTATTTTCTTTTCAGTCATAAGAGCAATATCTAGTGAAAACTAATAGTTCTGTAAGGTTCATTCTGTTAGCAACCTCGCAAGAGTTTGTTTCCTATGCTGATGGTTCCATGCTTATCTCTTTGTTGCTCTTATCTTTTTATCTGTTTATGACAGTCATGCATAAAGGTCGCTCTTGATTTTGTTTCACCTGAAAATGTTGGTGAGTGTGTTCGCTTGACTGAAGAATTTCGTGTGCTTACTCAAGAACATAGGACACAAGAGGATAAATTGGAGGTATGTTGCATAGTTCCTCAGTATTGAAAAGTTGAAGCTATAATTTCTCTCTGATTTCTGTTAGCCTCTCTAGCAGGAGGGAAAATGGCTAGCTTTACTGGTATCTTGCCCTTCGGAGGAGACCTTCGGTTTTCTAGCTGATATTTGAATATTATATCCTGTTCAGTTTTCTAGCTGATATTTGAATATTATATCCTACCCCAATGATCAATGAATACTGGCAGAGCCAAGTCACTGCAGCACAACATACTCTTCACGACATTCATAACCTTGCAAACTGTTTCCATTAATGAATTGGCTTCTGGCTGATTTTTTCACCATCTGCCGGCTGCAATATTTGTTGATATTTGTTGCTTACACTGGACGTGATTCAATTTATTTCATCCATTGTGATTATTTGAGTTTGAGCAAGGTTGAATGTTAAGCATGTAATTAGGAGTTTAGCATGTCATAAAAAAGTTCTATGGTTTGTGCTTTTTAATATTGTATTACAATTACTTTAGTTTCTTAATTTATTGAATGTTGCTTCATTTTATCTGCCGTTTGTAACAGGTGAAGAAAATGATTGTACATGCAGTGTGTGAGGCTGTGAATAACTTGGATGTAGATGCAAAGTGAGTTCCTTCAGATGCTTGTTTCTGTTCTCTGATCTTGAATATTAGGGTTTCTGAATAATTTTTTTAGTCTTTGAATGATGTTGTGTAAATCAATTTTCGTTATTTGGTAAATTCTCCGAAGTTATTTTCTTATTTTTTTCACTCATATAGTTCTTACATTTCTTGATTCAGGATTAAGCTTGCTCACAGAGTCAAATGAGTTGCAACTTTGTTCTGACATCTTAGCTGAAAGTGACACACAGTTGAAGTGGACAAACAATTTGGACTAGTTTCTCTGAACATGGGCGGCATTATATGCAGCATCTAGTAAGATGTGTAACACAACAACTGCTTTTGTTTCTGCTTAAGTACCCCTAAATCTTGATTGCCTTTCGTTCTCTCGGCCGAGGCCGAGCCTGGTGGAAATGTCAAGGTTGTGCTTTGATAAACTATACAGGCAAAGCACAGCCTGGTTTTTGCAGCTTTTTTTGATGATTTCACCACAAATTTACGTTATATTTTATTTTGAAAATGGCAATGAAAAGAATGAAGGGTGTGTCTTTTAGCAAATGAAGAATATTATTATCTTTCCATGCATATAAAGCAGTGGGATTCTTGTTGAGAATAGATCATGCTAACAATGCTGCAGATAATTCATTTTCTTGCAGGACATTAGAACCCAAGTTCAAATGTATCTTTAATTTCAAATTTAGAAATTATGAAGCTTAAAATATATAATGATAATTTATAAATTTTAGGCCGATATGAAAAAACAAAATTTAACTACGTTAAATATTATCGACAATATCAAGTGAGTGGTTAATTTTGTGTGTTAATATAATCCCAGTTTTAAGGATGTCAATGGTAATGTGGATCTAGATATTTATAAATATTCAAATTTTTTTTATAGATTAACATATTTTATTTACTACCCATAATATATTTATTGTAAATATTAATAATATTCGTATAATATTTATTATTTGAATACATTTTACTTAAATTGATGAGGGATTTGGGTTTAAGTATCCATGAACATGGATGATTGATTGTACATGAAGAGTGGAAGAGGTTCTTGACCTTAATTTTTTTTTTTACATTTTAGGTCTTTATCAGTTTAAATTTGAATAAAATTATTGTCTCGTACAATTTTATATGTATCTTTTAAGATAGACCACATTAGCTATTTATTGCATCCGATATAACAAAGTTAGAAATATAACTTGGAACATATGAAACAAACCAAATAAGTGATGAACAATTGAACACCTAATGGACAAGGGTATGAACAACGGTGAATTGGAACAGCAGAGTCATGCGGTCGGGACCGAGAGCGAGTATTGCAAATTCGATAGCCAGCTGCTTACTTTGTTCACATCTTCCCTTTACCTTGCTGCATTGATTGCTTCCTTCGTAGTGTCGATCATTACGAGGATCTTCGGCCGGAAAATCTAGATGTTTGTTGGTGGCATTGCTTTTCTCCATGGTGCCATATTGAATGCCATTGCCATGAGCATCGAAGTCCTCATCATCGGCTGTTCGTTGCTTGTAGTCGGCGTCGGATTTGCTAATCAGGTACATAGTATCAACAGTTCTATGTAATTGTAATCCAAATTTTAATTATTGATTTCTCCTTGGTATGCAATGCAGTCTGTTCCAGTGTACTTGTCCGAAATGGCACCTGCAAACATCAGGGGAGCTTTGAACATTGGTTTTCAAATGGCCATCACACTTGGAATTCTAGCAACAGGCCTTATTAACTACGGCACGTCGAAGATCGAAGGCGGATGGGGATGGAGGCTTTCTCTAGGCCTTGCGGTCGTTCCGGCAGTCGTGATGACCATCGGATCATACATGCTACCGGCCACTCCGAATTTGATCCTCGAGCGAGGCCAACTCGATAAGGCGAGGCAAATGTTGCAGAAAATCTGAGGCACACAACACATCGACGCCAACGAGGCCTCGAAGAAGGTGAATAACCCATGGAAGAACATCCTGCAACCGAGATACAGGCCTCAACTTCTCCTATGCATCCTCACCCCATTCTTCCAGCAGCTCACTGGAATCAACGTCACATGTTTTATGCGCCCGTTCTCTTCAAGGCATTGGGGTTCGGCAATGACGGCTCGCTCATGTCTGCAGTCATCACTGGCACCGTCAACGTTGTCGCCACCATCGTTTCAATCTATTCAGTCGATAAGTTCGGAAGAAGGGCCTGTTCCTCGAAGGTGACATACAAATGTTTATCTTCCAGGTACTTTAATCATTATTTAAGATCATTAAGAATAAGTGAGACAAAAACTCAACTCGATTTTAATTAATTTTGAGTTATTCGAACAAACACAAATTATTGATTTAGTTTTAGAGACAATAAAAAAATCTAAGATTTAGCTGCATATTTTGATAATTTTATAATTTGGTCACTAATTTTCTCAAGGCTTCAAGTCTTCCTGCTTTTCAAGTTTTTTTTATTAAATTTGAACTCTATATACCTTCAGTTCCTTTTTTTTTCATAATTATTTTTATTTTTTTCAATTTAGTCCCTTAATTTTTATGTTATTCACGTTCCATTTTTTCATAACAAAATTTCAGTTCATCTTTCATTGTAAGTTCACTTTCGACCAAATTTTAACCATATGTTCCATTACCGCCATAAATCTACGCAGATTGCCGTAGGAGTGACTATCACAATGAAGTTTAAGTTCATCGAAGAAGGAACCCTAACAAAGGGTGATGCCCAAAGTTTTAAAAAATGGTCCGCAATCGCAATTTCGACCGCAATATAGCAGTCTCGCCACCATCCGAGTTACCCGCAATAGACGTAATAACACCCACAACAGCCGCTATCACAATAAATCCGAAAACACAACCACGATTTAAAACCCGATGTTGGTTCTTCATGATGTTGTTCTTCATCTGCCCTTACGTAGACGCATTCACATGGTCATGGGGACCACTGGGATGGTTGGTGCCGACCAAAATCTGTCCATTGGAAATCCGATTAGCCGGACAAGCCATCAACGTGGCCGTAAACATGATCTTCACAAAAAAGGTCAATTTTGAAAGGACTAAAGATCAAATTTTGATTTCATTTGTTCTACCAAATCATGAGCTTTTTACATAACAAAAAAGACAAAATATCAATGGAAAAGAGAGAGAACACATTTAGAAACCTAATAGAATCCATTGCCTCGTTAAGAAATTCAAAACTTCACAATACCCCAAACCACAGAACAATTTCTTGAGGCACTGAAGGAAGCACAAAACATGCCACTGACTAATAATCATCTAATACTTCATCTTCCGTTTCCTTCTCTGCTGCAGGGGTTTCCTTCTCGGAAGAAGCTCCTTCCTCCTGACCAAGAAATCAAGTGAAATCTTTAGCATACTTCCACAACAAGTGCATAAGAGAAGAACTGACTAAAATTATATCAATTTCTGGAAGGGAGAAGGTAATAAAGCCTTACTTCCTCATTTTTTTTGTCATCATTGTTAGCCTCCTCCAACACTTTCTCATACTCTGCCTTGAGCTCAGCAGCTTTATCAATGTAACACTTCTTCTCCTAATGATATTAAAACCCAATATCATAGTTCATCAGTACACTCTTTTCTCATGATAAATAAGTTTTATTAAACTAATTGAATGTCAACAACTCACCTCATCAGACATGGATTTCCATTTCTCACCACCTTCCTTTGCAACCTAAATTAATTAATGAGAAGCTTAGCATGCAACTTAAAAAAAACAATAATGAAAACAATGTCGAGCACGAAAAGTGAGAAATGAGTACCCCTGTAACACCCTTTGCATCTGGATTTGCTTCCTTATAAGATTTCCTAAAGTCGTCCCTGAAAAGAGACAAGGGATATCCGTCAATTAAAAAGCCACTGTCCTTGGAATTAGCCCAAAGAAAAAGCGGCAGTAAAAAGAGTCATTACATGAACAAAAAGAATGCAGTAGGGGGACGTTTGGGAGCATTGGGATCTTTGCCCTTTTTCAACTTCTTCTTCTTGGGATTTGGCTCTGTTGTTGAAGGTTTCTTCCTGTACAGTAATCAGAAACCTAAGTACATCAAAAGGGGAGATGAAACCTCAAGAAAGCAAGAAGAAAATTTAAAAAACAGTACCTTTCTACAGGCTTCTTCTTGGTTTCAGCAGGCTTCTCAATAACTTGAGCCTCTAAATTAAGAAAATAAACTAAACACTATAAGGAAAAGATCCTACCGACAACAACCTAACTTCAACAATGTGCATGAACCTTGGAGATTAGTGACTAACCCAAATTCATTTTGATTTTAGCTTCAAGGCTGCAGCTATGCATACTGATGAGAGCCACCGGTACAGTTTTGTTACACTCGTCACTGCAAATCCAGAGTTTAGAACCAAAAACCAAAATCAACAACGAATCCGTAAAAAATTCAAAACGAATGCAAATACCCATAAAGGAAATCGAAACAAAAGCCTAGATCGAGGGTGGATAAGATTACCATTTGGCGAAAGCACTGCCATCTTTGGCGCGGACAAGAGAGGCGGTAGGAGCGTCGGTTGAAGCGGCGTCGACTCTCTTCCTGGGCTTTGGTGGATTGGATTTGGATCCGCCTGCCATCTTCTTCTGTTCTTCACCGTAACAACGAAAAGGAGGGAGAGGAGATGAATCGTTGATGCTATGTGCTGTTTGGGGAGAGGGAAAGAATTAATAGCAGGGCAAAAAGAAAATTATGGAGGGAAATGGAAATGCTGGTTTGGTTATTTGGCGCCACCGCCTCTTTTTTTTTTCTCATTTCCCTAACATTTTGATTTTTGGAGGGACCGTTTGGTTGAAATTTTTGAATGAATTGTTTCTTTCGCTTGGATTCATGAGTTGGCTTCGTTACCACCGTTCGATTCTCATCTTTTTCAAATCGACGCTCACCCTCTGTTGTGAAATCGTAGAGGCAACCTTAAAAAAACCCTTTGCGCCAATAGTTTCGGCCTATATATTTCGTTAGTGTTGGGGATGGGTTATGGGACTAAAAACTGGGTTTGACCCGATCCGACCCAATTAGATTATTTTTTAAAAAAAAATAAGTTCGGGTCGAATCGGATATTTTAGGATATGTTTGTGTTGGGGTTGGTTTATGATAAAAAAATATATGACCTAACCCAACATGAAAAAATTTATATATTATTTTCTTTCGATTAAATCTTAATTTTTATCGAATAAAAATAATATCTTTAATAAATATATTATTTCATGTCGTGTTCGGGTTTTATCTAAAAATTCAGGCCGGTTGGAAAGGTTATATTTTTGGATCAGGTTCAAATAGGGTGGAGAATTTAAAATTTTCGGATTAAGTTGGGTGGACCAAAAATCCCACCAGACCCAACCCATGTTCATAACTAGTTAGTATATTATTAAGGGTAAACTACACATTTAGTATCTAAACTATCATTTTTTTAAATCATACGTAACATATAGTTTTTGTTTCATTTTAATATCGCACCGTTAAAAACTTAACATGTGTAGTACTTAAACTATTGGTTTTGGTCCGTTTTAGTATCTAAGCTTTTAATTATTTTCAAAAATTAACGTTAAATTTTGAACTGAAATACTAAAATAAAACAAAAACTAAACTTTATGTATGGTTTTGAGAAAACTGATAATTTATATACTAAATACGTAATCTACCCTATTATTAATGAATTGTATATGATAACGTTGTATTAAACATGAGTTTCAATATTTTTAAATTTATGGGATGAAAAAAATATTATTTAGTAATCAATCACTGATCACTTTATAAGTCATAAACAGGAGTGATCTTGGCTTCCCGCCAACCCTAATTCATTTTAATTTTTTCAATTAATTATTTTTTCTTTAATTTATATAATAAATCTTAAAATTATAAAAACTTATAAAGCAACATCAATGATAAAGGATAATATTATTTTTTCTTAGAGAGTCTCGTGTTCAAACAGTTACGCTTGTATTGTAAATGACTAAAAGAATTCTGAACGAATACTATATTACAATCATTTTATATTTAATAACATATACAAAAATAACTATTATGTTTTTCAAGTAAGATATATTTTATCCTTTTTGAGGTAATGTTATTACTTTGTTTATGATATTAACATAAATATTATAAAAAAATTCATAACACTAATGACTAAATGTAGATTATCCTCGATAATCTGAGTTTAAGGTTTAGAATTTAAGGTTTCAACAAATTATTTTGTAATTAAGATATTAATTTTGTTTTTTAACTTTTATATGAAATTTAAAAGGATGGGTGACAATCGACACCCCTATGAAACAGGTAACTCCACCCATGCCACAATGTAAAGAGGCCGCTTCACCTATATGCGTGTATGTGCTCCATTGTTGGGCCAAAACATGGTATTTTTCGGCCGAAACGAACGCCAACAAGAAAACTCATGAAATGACCCAAATTTCTTCTACGTTGTGGGCAAAATTAGCCCAATACAGAAACAAATATAATTATTAAGTCCATTAGGACACCTTCAAGTTTATTTTGTAATATACTGTAAATGTTACAGTATTAGAAAATTCGTAGGTGATGAATTCAAGTATTAGAAAACTCGTAGGTGATGAATTCACCTACACCAGGGCCGGCCCTTACCATAGGCGAATGGTGACCGCCAAGGACCCAGATTTGGAGTACCTCATTTTTTTAAATATTTTTTAATTTAATAATTAAAAAAATATTTTTAGACATCATTTTTTTTATTTCAAACACTCGGAAACATGATAAATGTCTTTGACTTTTATAGTAAATTGTGATATTGACTATTTTTGTTTTACATTACGCGTGTAATGTTCGGTATTTGCAGACACAATATAAGGGGTCATTTTTAAAAATATTTTTAAATTTAATAATTAAAAAAATATTTTTAAACATTATTTTTTTATTTCAAACATTCGGAAATATAGTAATTCAGTATATCACATTTTAATGATTGAGAGAGAAATGTGAATCTTCATTTATCTTCTTATCATCATATCTTGTCCTAAGACTCTTAAAATATCATAACAGAGGCTGGCCTACACTGTAATAAATTCGTAAATTCCTAAATAAAAGTCGACGTGTCATGAAACCTTCTTTTTTTTTTATTTTAGGTCCGGTAATAGGCCAAATTTGTCTGCGTTGTGCCTCAGAAGATAAAAGACAAAAGGAGAAATTTCCATTGTCGAAGTTTAGAGCATAGCTGAAGATCGAAGAGCAAACTCGGAAACACGAGGAAAAGGGGAAACGGACAAAAGAAGAAGATGCTTACAAAACAAACCCTAAAACTAACATTATAAGCTGTCTTGATCAGCACAAGAAACCGGAGTTTCCATTGTCGAAGTTTAGAGCATAGCTGAAGGGATCATAGTGGAAGCTAAACTTCTGCTTCGATGTTTTACCCTTCGGTCGTCTCTTTATCTCGGCTCTAACCTTCCAAAACAAGCTCCTAAGCTTCCTCTTCCCGCAAAAAACCACCGCATTTGGATCAAAACACAACCCCATCACTCCAAGCCACTCAGATATCAGTTCTTTACACGAATTATATAGAAGCACCAGCTGTGCTTTTGGACCAGTTATAGCTTGTGAAAAAACAAAGTGTTTGGTCGTGTTGGAGCATTAACCGAGGCCAAAAAGTCATATCTCTATCTACTGTCCTGTCGCTGCCAAGAAAGCCTACGGCGCTGTCTGTCTGCCTGTCTCTGTCCCTCATCTTACAGAGTCGGAGGAAGTTAGATGAAGGATTTTGGGTCGGTCACTCACATGGGGTTACTGAGTTCAGATATGGAAGGGTCTCCGAGTCGAAGCAAAATGACGACAAGAGTTTTGACAAACTATAAAGTAAGATACCCCATGAGGGACATGACATGTCACGTATGTGGATATGGATAGTATCATTTGCTAGCTTTTTACACATTTAACCACAAGGAATTCTTCTGTTTTTAGGTAAACTATATAAATAGTCACTAATATTTAAGTAAATTTTAATTTTCACTACTGATATTTCAAAAATCACAAAACAGTAACTAATGTTATCTTTTATTATAAATTGATCACTCGACATTAACAGCCACAGATTCATTTGCCTTTGATTGGAGAACAAAATTCATTGAAAAGTAAAAGGTTTGGCAAATTATTGAGAGTCACAGTCAAGCCTAATGTGACAATTCAGATTTTATACAACATAAAAAACGGCGTTCGTAAAGTCCAACCCTCAATCGATGTCGAACTACACTTCATCATGTCTTAACTAAACTTAGACATAAGAAGTCGTTAAAATAGATTTGGATTTCGTAAGTTTGTATCGAATTTACCCATGAATTTTAAAATATTTAATTACAACACTAAACTCTAGTTTTGCTTATATATAACATAAGTAGTTAAAATATATTTGGATTTTTTTACCTTGGGAAGTTACAGCAAAAAAAAACACATTTAAAAAAAACATTAACAAAAAAATATTTTTTTATAAATATGGGTAGATATGATGTAATAAATTTTCAACTAATCTTGATCATTTGATAATGAACGATTGAACATTTATATCCTCATATACGGTGCTCAAATTGAATATCTAAAAAAATATGCAAAAAGACATAAAATGTCTTTATATTTTTGGGGGAAAAAAAACCTAATATGACTCATATTTTTTTCTCTCTCTATGTGGTCCTCCAACTCAAAAAACAATTTCAATGTGGTCATTTTATCAACATTTTTTCGTCGTTGACCGTTATAGTGCTGGCGTGGTAGTTACAATTTTGAAATAGTAATCCACGGTATTGATGTGACAGTTTATCTACCACATTTAAGTTGTCAATTTAACCTATCTGTCATGTAATCCGTCACGTTATTAACTACCATGGACTACCGCATCAGTACAATGAACTGTCATATCAGCATCGTAACAGTTAAAGACGAAAAATATTGATTCAAATGTCACATTAGATTTGTTTTCTGAATTAAATGATCACATTAAAAGACAAAATAATACGGATGTTACAATATTTTTTTTTAAAGTACATAGACCTCTCTTTGTTGGGGTTGTTTTGTTTTGTAAAAATCTTCTAGAGGATACAAAATCCCGCACTTTAAATGGGAATTCTAAAGAGTGATGTTGAAGCTACACCGGTTCTTCCTTTTCCATTTCAATATATTTAAAAAATGATTAATTCTCACCCTGTTGGGGGTATTATGGGGAGCAAATTGCATTGACGAAATCCTTTGGGAGCTAATAATAATTCCCCTATAACAAAAAGGACTGAAGTGTTCATATATTTTGAACCATTTAATTTGGCTGACACCATTTGTCATCCATTTGAATACACATGGTCACATACGATAAACGGATACAATTCCGTGAATTTCGCATTGCATCAATTCTAGTTGGGGAAAGGATTGGTTTAAGTTTCGTGGGTAGTGGGTGAGTGTAGTTGTAAAAAATCATATCCACCGTGGATAGTGGGTAGCTGATGGGTTTGAGACCTTACTTGCCTTACATTTGTCTGCTTTGTATCTACCCGCCCCACATCCGGTCGTCCACTAATTACCTCCCATATAAATTTTGAACTATTATGAATTTATGTATAATTTTAGAGGCTATTCTGTAAATCTTAAAGTTTTGTAGGACATGACTTGTAATTTAAACAATTATTAGAGTATAACATTTTTAGAATTGAAGACCATCGATTATATAATCTGCGAGGTTGTTGGCAGATAGGTATGGACAGGTATAGGTGGGTACGAGATGGGTGGTAGGTAACCGGTTGAGTAGAGGTTGTGGAGGCGGATTTTAGAATATACTCGTATGAGTGGGTGTGATTTAAAAAATTTGTCATCGTGAGTGATAAGTAGGTAGTGATATAAAAATATTATATATATAAAATTATAAAAAAAATGAAGTTTGGTTAGCTGACTACTATCGGAGTTTGGGACATTGTTCTATTCTTCATGTCGAAATTTGGGCTCTCTTTGATGGACTTATGGTCGCTTGGGATGAGGTTTCAAGAAGATTGAAGTGGAGATGGATAATAAAGAAGCGGTTCGGATCTTAATCTCCCTTACCTTGGCTTTCGAACCTGCTTTAATACATGGAGTCGGAGACCTCCTCCACTGCCATTGGCATGCCAAAATTTAGCACATTCATTGTGATGCGAATAGCGTTGCGGATGCGATAGCTCACCTTGGTCACACGACATCGCTTGACTAGATAGATATTGCTGATCCACTAGATAATATTCACTAACTCCTTCCCCTAGACATGGATAAGTGGAGAAGAAGGATCCATAGATGTTAACACAACCTTTCTTTGTAACAAAAAAAAACATATTCTCGTATCAAACTTCAACGTCATAAATATAATAAATTAAGTTTTAAGAAACTATTGTAGTAAAATCTTGCAAAAGTAAATACATTGGTAAAAGTCACTCATGATTTGAACTATAAAGTGATACGTTGTAAGAATTGTTGTTTCTAACGAGTTTAATTAGTAACTAGTTGAATTGAGTCTGAGTCGAACACTGTCCAATTCGAGATCAACTCACTCGATAACACTTTTAATTGGGGTTTAACAGAGGCCTAGTGATGGCTTCACATGTCCACCCAAGTGGTGGCTCCCTCTGGCCCTAAACCCAAAGCCCTCATGATTTCATGCACTACACACCCTTGTTTGAAATAAGAATCTCCCTGTCCTCTGTGAAGTTGATGTAAAAAGCTGGTGTGTAATCAAGAATGTGCACTGCACCTCATTCCATTTCCACCTTTTACTCTGATCCAGAGCCCTATGCTTTGGTGTAAAAGGCAAAACCTTTACCAAAGATTATAGATATTCAGAAGGGTTAGTGGAGCCATTGATATGTACATCCTAAAATTTTATAAATTTATTATCTAATATAAAATTCCGAATTCGTTCTGCGGTAAGTGACACATGACATTTTAATACATCAGATATAGTTTTAAGTAAGAGCAACTATGAGTATCAAAATTCACAGTTTCTTTACATTGTCGGATTAGCAAACGTTGGGGCCAAAACCAACGAATCCATTGGCTCCATCGAAGGAAACTTGGATCCCCTCTTGCTGGATGTTCCCTATATCGAAAGTCCTGAAGTCGAGGGAGAAAATGCGAAACAGAAAGTTCCCATATCATCCACGGGTATGAGAAAGTTACTGGCTGGTAGGGTTAGGATCGGTCCGGTCGAGAAATAAAACGATACTGTCGGAACCCGAATCGTTACAAAACCCGATATTATAGCACGTATCGAATATAGATACACCTGAGATTCGAGGTAAGTTTGTTGTTTGTGCGACAAATGCGTCACGTAAGGCATTATAAGCCATGTTTGGTAACCTTGTGACCGCGGTGCCGGTGTCCATAACAACCCCTCCGTACCCTAATTCGGTGAGTCGAAAGATATCTTCTGATATTGGAACTCGAGTGCCACCTACGCCGAGACCTGAGAGCCCGATATAGTAGAAGCTTGGAGCTCGTGGGTTTCGTATCAAAGGGATCCATGCGGCACCCACGGGCATTGCTCCGCGCCCGAATACGAGTGATCCGGACGCATCGGTGCCCCGACTCACTAAACAGTAACTAAATGCTCCCCCGGTTTGACCACCCAATTGACCCACCAGCGACATGGATCCACCTCCTAGGCCCAACAACCCGGCTGCCCCAGTGAACATACCCTTGTTAATGTGTCCACATCCGATTGCCACCTTTTGAACCACGGTTCGACCGAATGTGAGTGTTTCAAGTGCCAGGGTCCCTTTCGTGTAAGACCCATCACCGTACATAACCTCATATCGACATTGACGTGAACCGCAACCCGAGTTCTCAACCCGGTCACAAACGGAAGAGCTACAAGAGACGCCGGCGTAAGAGGCGGAATCAGCCGGGTCAAAAACCGGGTCGGATTGTTTATAACATTGGTTACAAGGCTGACACTGGACCCAAACAATATCACTGCCGGAATCAATAACCATGTATTGACTTTTCGGTGGGCTTCCGACGCCTATTCTCACGAAATACTCTCCACTTCCTTGGTCCATTCCTGAAACGACTTCCGACCCAAAATCGTTTGCCTCATAAGCAGCACCGTCATGGTCTCCGCCGCCGAGAGGCGGCGGAGGAGGCTTGCCACCCTTTTAACGTCCCTTTGCGTGCGTGCATGAAAACGGTGGCTATGGTCTTTGAAAGTAGCAGCAGCTAACTTGTCCCTGTGGACAAGTTTCAGCTTCCATTTCCCTTGATTTTCTCTAACACCGGATGGTTCGAGCGGCGGAGGTATCTTTGTCCCGATGAGACTTTGTTTCACGTTCAAGAGTTGAAAGTCGGGATAGGAGGTGGCGGCGACGCTACTTAGAGTTAGGTGTAGCACCGCCACTAGGACTATAGGCAGACCTGAAGAAGCTAACATGGCTGAGGGCTTTCCTGGTCCGAGGAGTTGGGGTTTGAAGTTCTCAAGCGAAAGCTTAAATATTCGAGCCGGGTGGGGGTTAATGCTGCACATAGTAAGCAAAATAGACATGTGGGGTATGTAATAATAATTGAGGTTTAAAGACATACGTTTGTAAATTCCGGTTTAATGAGAAGAACGATTAAATTTATTAAAAGTTATGACGGATTGGTTCAAGCGATAAATTGCTCGATATCGTTTAAGTAAAATTTTATATTCGAGTCTTCACGTATAAAAAAAATCCTAATTAAAAGATTCACCACAAAATAAGTGTACGATGCAGGCTGTTTAAATTATTGAGGGTTAATATGAATGTTTAAGAAAAATATTGCTTTAATTTTCTAACAGCTTTTTCTTGAGTGATCGAGAGTTTGAGATTTAAAAACTATGTACTTTGCTTTCACTTTTGGTCTTTCGCTTTATGAGTGGTGCACGAATTCTGTTCTAAAGTTGAACCCTTCAACAAGGAAGAGACAAGTTTGGTTTTGGTTGTATCCAGCTATATATTAATCGACTAATGGACATTGTAATCAATCCTTGGAAGAAGAGAAAATGCTATAAACATAATATTAATGATGATTTATGTTAAAACAATAATATAATGACCAAAATAGCTAGGAGATACAATAGTAAGATGACTAATGGACCGAAGTTAGTGCTGCCAGAGAAACGAAAGCTACCGAACAAGACCACCTTTAGTTCCATTTATGTTTGTTTAAACAATGTTTGTTGTCTGAGTGTTAAGTGAAAGACGGAGGGAGGAAAGAGAGAGGAAGGTGTGGGTTTCTTCATCATGTTTACGGAAGACGTGAGGAATAGCTAATACTGTTCATTCTACTTGCAGTAAAATACATCCTTATTTTTACTCTCAAAAGGTGTGATTTGAGGGAGCGAAGTTTCCCATTTCGTTCAAAACTATAATAAAACCAAAGCTGATTCAACTCTCTCTGTGTCTGTCTAAACCTATTCTCTTTATGCCTTTCTTCCATGCTGTGTAAAGACAAAAGACACTGTCTGCGCCCAGATATTTTTTTTAATTAATCACTGGTATCTAAATTATTGATCGACTAATCCAGATCGGATACTACAGAGACGAAGGCGATCCTCCCAACACAATTTACTTCATTCATAAACATCAAGATTCGAATCCCTAACATTGCTTAAGTGCGTCCAGATATTTTAGCTGACTTGAAGTAGCAAAAGTGGGATGAATAGTTTGTATTATTTTAATTTCAATATTTTCTATGCTTATAATGTGTTCATCTTTATATTAATTTAATATTTTTTATGTTTATAATACGGTCATCGTTACATTATATATATTTTAATATATTTGTCTTAATATCTTTTAATCCCATCTTTTATTTTTTAATCATATTTAAAATTATCACATCCAGCACAAATCGAGTTATCTTAATGGTTCGAGCACCAAAGACTATATGATATTTGAGCGTTCATTATTAAATGGTTGAGAGTCTTTAAAACATATCATATCACTTGCAAGCAGGGGCGGAGCTCTCTTGGAGGTCAAAAAAGGACCCCGACCCCTATAATTTTTTTATGTTCGATAGATTTTGATCTAATAGTATTTTAGTTAACATAAAAATAAGTATACAAATTAAAAAATATAAGAGTTTATTAAATATTTAATCAAGCAGGGGTTAAACTAAAGGACGATAATCCAATGTTCTCAATTTTTTGGTTTAATAACAATTTTGGTCATTATAAATTTAAATATTAGTCAAGTTAGACTTTTGTCTTTTGAATTTTAATTTTAAATGCGTAATAAGACATTGTATTTTTTAAAAAAAGGTTCAATATTTCGACCCTATCAATATCTAATCCCGACTCCGTCCCTATATTGATATTTTAAACTCAGTAACAAAAATGCATGCATGCATGGCGGCTCATCTCATTCAACTGACCAGCTACGCGCTTATATCAAACTACATACAAGGTTGTTCAACTTGGATCTTTTAAAAAGAATTGAGCATTCATTTAACTGCGATCGCAATCGAATTACGTACATTGAAGCATGTTTTCCACTTTCTTTAGGTTATTGTCTCTTGCATATGCTTTTATGGCGAAGTCTGTCTGGTTTGAGTACTTGAGTTATAAATTATGATTAGAAGATGAAAACAATAGGACAATACCGAGCAGGACTGGTGCATTAGAAAATTTACAAAACAAACCTAAGTTGGAATGGATGACACAAATACATGGGGTGAATTCACGAATAATGTTCTCGAACTTTTTTATTCACGATATAGTGCACATCCCAGATTAATTGTTGAAATGGGGTGAATTCTACAGTGATGCCCATAGGACGCCATGCAATCCAGGCGATCTTGTAGGACGCCATGCAATCCAGGCGACATACGGGGTGACATACGAGCCATACGGGGTGACATACGAGCCATACAAGCCATATACGAGCCAATAGAGAGGTCGCCATGTAGCCTAGGCGACCTTGTAGGTCGCCATGTAGTCCCGGCGACCTTGTAGGTCGCCATGTAGTCTCGGCGACCTTGTAGGTCGCCATGTAGTCCCATGTAGTCCTAGCTCACGAGACCTCATGCATGCACATGCAGCCACAACTTAGATTCCTTCACGTGCTCCCCTCCTGCTCCCCGCTGCATGCCTACAGCTCCCAATGCATGCATGTGAACCATTTGAGCCGTGAATTATTGGTACAATAATTGAACCATTGCTGCGTGAAATCAGCTGCTATCATAGCTGCAATTGCACAATTATTGGTGAAATAATTGAGGCAGCCGGTTATATATGGGGTGTGCATTATCGTGAGAACATAAAAGAAAGAAAGAAAGGGAGAAGAGATTGCAGCCAGAGCTTGGTCGCCGAGATTGCAGCCGAGAAAGAAAGAAAGGGAGAAAGGAAAGTAAGAAGAAGAAAGGGAGATAAGGTAAATTTTTTTATATTTAAATTAGTTTATTATTATAAATGTTTAATTTGTTAGTTTAGGGTTTAGGGTAAAACAAAAAGAAGTTAATTAGTTTGTTAGTTTAGGGTTATATGATTGTTAGTTTAAGTTATAGTATACCTAAATTAAAAATTATTTAATTAGTATATGTTTGATAGTTATATAGTTAAAAAATAATTAATTAGTTTGTTTTGTTAATAGTTAGTTATATAAAAAAATTATTTAATTAGTTTGTGTTAGTTAAATAGTTAAGTTATATTTGTTTGTTGAATTTATATTATATAAAAAATTAGTTAGTAAGTTTATTAGTAGTATATTATAATGAAAAATAGTTTATTAGTTAGTTTTAGTTATATAAAAGAATATTTTATTAGTTGTTTAAGGGTTTAGCGTTTACGTTTAACTTATATTTTAAAAAGTGTAGTTTGTTAGTTTATTAGTTTATTATATTATAAGTTATTATATTAAAGTTTAGTGTTGTAAATTAGTTAGTTAGTTTATATTAGATTATATTAAATGATTTTTTAAATATTGTTGTTTAATTTTTTTTACAGATTCATTCCAATGGCTGACCAAATTCCACTGTTGAGGCTTGACAATGAACATATTTCAAGTCATTTGGGAATAATGGTGAATAAAATATTTGTTTAATGAATTATAATTAATAAATATTTGAATATTATTTTATGATTGTGATAATTTTTTTGAAATATTTAATTGTAGGAGGACGAGCAGCGAGTCCTTCGTCTTTGACTACATAAAGTGCCCAAGCCACACCCACTGATAGAAGAAAATTTGCAAGAGGCTGGATTTTGGTATATAACATTTGTGCGAGATTACAAGTTGGTCCCAGGTTTGATCAGTGCGTTGATTGAACGTTGGAGACCAGAAACGCACACGTTTCATTTGCCGTGTGGCGAATGCACGATAACTTTGGAGGATGTGGCAATGCAACTCGGGGTCCAAACTAATGGGATACCGGTGGTAATGTCACATGAGTTTAATAAGGTGGAACAACTTTGCAACTTGTTTCTTGGGAAAGCGCCCGTACCACCAGAGTGTAAAGGGTGGCGGGTGAGGTTGTCATGGTTGAAGAATGAATTTCAACTTCAATCAAATAGTACGGAGCACGAAATTATATATGCAACACGAGCATATATATTACAATTGATTGGGGGAATTTTGATGCCTGATAAATCCGGTAGTTATGTTCACACTCAGTATCTTCTTTTTTTTAACAAATTTTGAGAATTGTAGGTAATATAGCTGGGGTTCGGCGATATTGGCGTTCTTGTATCGTGAGATGTGTAAGGCGTCATTAGTCGTGAATGATAATAATACAGTAGAAATCGGTGGATGTTTGTTGCTGCTACAATCATGGGCTTGGCATAGACTTCCGTTTTTAACACCGATTAGTCGGACTCCGGTTAACTTTCCACTTGCCGGAAGGTAATATGAATCCTCTATTTTAATATAAAATATTAATTAAAAAATATTTATTTTGATTAAAATTATTGAACAAAATGTCTCTATTTTTGTTTTGATTGATATACAGATGGAGGCATAAAATTGAAGGCACAGGGTTGGTGCACAACAACATTAAAGAGTTCAGGTTGAAGATTGACATTAAGGCCAAAAAGGAGGTATGCATAATCTATATTTTTTTAATTATTATTTAAATTAACTATATTATTTGATTTAAATAAATTTTATTGTTTTTGTAATTTTACAGTTTAATTGGAGACCATACATGAATGAAGAATTATTTGCGTTGATACCGCACGATATTTTAGATGGGTTTCAATATTGGTGTGCTGTTACACCATTGATCAATTTTGCTTTTGTTGAGATCCAATTTGGGGATAGAGTGCTGAGGCAATTCCACTTCCACCAACCTATTCCGCGGAGTCCATGGGATCATGACCTCCTCCAAAACTTAGATGGTCGTCGTCCAGTGAATTGGGTTGAGACGCATGACGACCTGCACAGATTTGATGGTCGTCGTAAAGAAAGCGTTAATTGGGTTGAGAAGCATGCAACCTACATTAATGCTTG